AAACGGTCTTTCAATGAATGTCATTTCTAGCGGCACGTCAGCAGAACGTACTGCACCTGCGTGAAACCCATAATGTAATGTACATAGCACTTAGGCAGAACGTCTCATATAAGGTCATATTCGCGCATATAAGGTTAACACTCCGTCTGTAGTTTCCAAATGTTATGTCGGAAGGGCAAAATTCTGATGCATCGTTGACCAAAAATCCAACGAAAACCGCGAAAAATCAGGATTTTGCGTAGGTGCAGTACGTTCTGCGAACGTGCTGCATGTATTCTCAGCCAAAAGCATTCATGCTAGCAACGTGACGTCATCCCGTTGGTTCCTGCGTCAGTGATAAAGTGCAGTTTGAATCCGTATCGCAAGGTGGCATTTCAAGCGCACGGAAGTTGTGGAATGTAGGTTTGAACATGTTGTATGGAATGACAAATTAATTACATCATATGAAACCTCCAGGGACAAAATGAATTTGATCATGAATGTTTTACTTCAAAACAATTGCGCAGCTGCTAATAATCCATTTCTAGGACAAGCACCTTAGTTATTATTACCTCCATGAAAAATGGAGGTATTGTTTTTGGCGGCGTCTGTCTGTGTGTCTGTGTGTGTGTCTGTGTGTGTGTCTGTGTGTGTTTCCGCAACTTTGTAGTCAGCATAACTTCATAACGCCTTTATGGATTGTGATGATATTTAGTATGATGATAAGTCTTAGGAAGACAAAGGTCAAGGTCAAATATGGGCCTCCTGGTGGATGACCTTGGTACTGCAGCAGAACTTCCGGTTTTTCTATCTTTGGTCCTGAACATGCTATGGTCTTGAATTTTTGGTGACAGATAGCTTTTCCTGTCAGGAATAAGTGGTGTGGGTTTGGTCCCCCTAGCAGCTTGTTCAGGAACTGCAGGGAACTTTCGGGCGAAATCTTTGAAAGCCAATAAGTCCAGATAGGAACAGCGTATTTTCATCATTTTTGGTGTGTAGGTATCTGACAGAGAGATGTACATAATTAACTGCGAATTATGCAAATGGGGACTTTATTTGCATAATTAATGAGGAAATTCTATAATTACAGTGTTTTACATTATAGAACCTTCATACATGTAATGTATGTAATCTATGGCAGATGAAACATCAACAGATACTAATTATGCAAATGATGACCTAATTTGCATAATTAATGCAAAAAATCTATGATTTCTCAATGGTGAATGATGGGAATGTCATACTTGGGACATCTTTAAGTTAATCAAAAGTTAACATCACGACGCATATATTATGTTAATGCAGAGGTCATTTGCGTAATTAAAGAAGAAATTTACATTTACATATCAAGCTCATATTTCATGGAGGTATGAGATCTCGGAACTCTTGTTTTTTCTTGTAGGAAAAAGCGTGAAATGGCGTATCAAAAGGTTTGACGTTTAGGTATGTGAGAGTTCAAAAGAGTATAAAACCTTGCCGAATATATATGTGCCAACAGTCGAACCAAAAAGGCTACAGGTTTTGTTGTTATTGTTGTTGCTACGGTTCTCAGGTAGCCGGAAACACAATTTTTCCCTAGGTGCTAATTATTACACTGGAGTAACTGTTACTGATGAAAAAAGCAGTCAAACCGGTTCTGTATTCGTCCCAAATCATTTCTATTTTCTAATGATTAAGTTTCAGTTTTTCAGCTCGTTACGGCTCGCTCCAAAGTTTCTGTTTTTATTAGCGGTATGTTACATTCTTCTTTATTCTTCACAATGTGATACTAATATATTACGGATTAATAGAAAGAACCATGGTGCAGCAGCAGATGGCTACAAATTAATCTCCAAGCAGATCTTTAGGTGGCTAAAGATAGTATCCAACACGCGGACAGTATCCAGCCGGCCGACAGTATCCAATTGGTCACCGAAGGATGGATGGGCCGGCTGTCAGAAAAAAACGGGGCATAAAAAGGTCACAATCTTCCCATTCAACCTCTGCTTGGAGAGTAGCTACAAATATATTGCACGGAACGACAAGGTGTTCCCAACTTTTGCACATTTTTAAAACTGTGACTTATTTTTCAAGCTATCTAGTGATGATGCCCCGACTGGCAGCGAGTTCTGTTCTATCTACAATAGCTCCGAAAATAGTTTCATAAGCGGCACATATAGCTACAACAGTACAACCTATATGGGCTACATATGATACAGCGGCGAGAAGCAGAACTCCAGTCAGAAGCTCTGAGGAAAGTGTCTGATAGACCCCGAAACGTAAGCAAGGTAAGGCACACTACTGGTTGCGTAAAACAAAATTCCTATAACCTATATACTACAAGATACATGGAGTTCCAGGAAAAACGAGCTTTTGAACACCTTATAAAATATGGTTCATGACTCTCGTACTAGAAGGCATGACTATTTATTGTTCTTTGAATTTTCTGAGCTGGTACTAGGTACTTAGAAGTCGGTAAAGGTGGATAACCAGTGGGGTACTAGTATGTGAAGATAAATTTGAATCTTTGAGAAAATATCACGATGTCGACTGAAATGTCACGGAACCATCAACAACACGACAAAAGGTCATACTCAGTTGTTAGGCCACAGCAAGTAAAATTTATGGATGACATCCTCCGCAGACTTCAAATCTAATGCGAGCGGGCGAAAAAACAAGACGGCCCGAAAAAAACAAAGTTCCTACGTTTTTAAAATGTTGACGTAATCATGGTACAAATGGTTCTGATTCAGTAGGAACATCAAATATACACAGCCAGCATCACATATCACTGCATCAAAGTACGAAGCAAAACATTGAATCAGAGTCTTTTCTTGTCTCCTCTTCATAGTTATCTACTATCCCACCATCCACCTTCCGGCATGGCAACAGACATTTTTGCAAATTTTCGGCATGTTGACCACTGTCAGAAGGCAACAAAATTTCTTGTTTTTTTCCCCGAAATCAGCCAAAAATTAATGCGCGCGTTGCTGTGGCCCTACTGTGGTCTTCGGAATGGGAAAGTGGAGTGGCTATTTGAGCGGTGACGCCCGTCGCCTAGAGCTACTTATCCAAGCAGGATAACAGCGGCTTTATGCCTTAGTGTGGGGGTGTTCGGGTTGTCAATCATGGTAGAGAGGTCGAGGACTGGGTTAGCCTCCACCAGGCCTTCCTGCGAGGGTACGGATCGTAGAATTTTCCATATAGAATACAACACGGGGTATTACGTATACGTATCGCCCGAGGTATCGGCCCGACCCGCTATGATATTAAAAAAAAAGTATTGACCAGGAGAGTCAGTCCGGGAGAAGCCGGTTTAATTTTCCCCTCCGAAGCAAGTGAACTCTACGTTCCCGTTGATAATTTTTTTCTCTATTTCTCAAAATTTTTACTTTTTTTTTAAGTTTGAATTTGACTCACAACCCCACCACGACCTACTCCCAAACACCAGCCAACCATAGCCGAACCTCTAAACCACTTCCAAATGTTTTGAAGCCGCACATGCGAACAGTAAGTTAGTAACCAACAATGCTGAACACCAGCCAATCTTGCTCCAGACCTACGTACTCCTAACCATGGTTGAGGGATTTCGGCTAAGGCCACACCAAGTAAATTTTATGGATGACGTCCGCGCGCATTGATTTTGGCCTGTTCCTAGAAATAAAAACAAGAAATTCCGCTTCCTGTAACTATGACCAAAGAGTCACGACAGTGCCGCAAATCACCAGATTAATGTGAAACCCGTAACGCGAAGAAAGTGTCTATTGACAGGACCATCCTGTCTTCGGGACAGGACCATCCTGTCAATAACAGAAAATTTGCACTATTGATAGGACCATCCTGTCAATAACAGAAAACTTTTCACTGTCCACTGTTCCACCTGATTTATTGCTGTTTTGATGATGAATAAAAGACTTCTTGCTTGTTACACTGTGTCACCTCATTCAATTTGTGTCCTAACATTTGTCGTCTCTTTGTATATTTCTAATATAGGCATTTTGTTTTTTTAGGGCCCTTGCTTGTTTTTTTCGCCCTCTCGCATTAGATTTAGGGTCTCCAAAGGACGTCATCCATAGAATTTACTTGGTGTGGCCTAATGTTTATCAGGCCACATTCGGCTATGTCTGACAGGGGCTTTATTCTCCGGAGAGGGAGCCACCATTACCGCGCACAATCGGACCATCTGCAGCGCTTGACCTAACTTTTGTCGTCCCTTACACCTGTCAATCAAACACGGGGTTTCTACCCTTACCCAACACCGTATCCTAGCAACTAATGTGGTCATCACCCAGGTTGAGTACGAGTTCAAGTGCATGAATGGGTGGAAATGACGTCAACACGGCATACCATATTGTAGCATGTAAAGAAAGCATTTTTAGCCTGGTGTACAGTCTACCGTGGTTCGGGCAGGATATCTTCGGGCCTGTAGTAGTTTTCTGCCACCCAGCTCAACTAGGCTTCCTGTTTAGAGTTTTGCATAACCGGACCGGAGTTGAATACTAGTGGACTTAACAATTCCCGTCGTGCATGCAAAACTCGTACCGGGGAGCCTAGTTGAGCTGGGCGGCAGAGAAACACCACAGGCCCGAAGAAAGCATACCCAAACCGCGGTAGACTGAACACCAGTCTGCTCGTAATACGTTTTAGATTTGTAAACCGTAAATTAAAGAAAATTGGTTTAAACGTTTGATGGATCCTCATTTTAAGCATCTGTTTTAATTGGTGTAGAACAATGTAGATAAGAAATGTTATGTACCTTTATCCAGCTTGTACACAGGACATAATAAAAAGAAACCGTTCATAATTACGCTTGCCACAACCAGAGCTTTAATCGTTTGATTCTAATCATTTGTTGTTTTTTGTTATCAAAACAATTCCCTAATCCATATATAAACATAGCGCCGTTATTCAGTAAAAGCAAATTACAGTGTGCTTTATTTTCCCCACAGCCCAAACAGCCCTGTGTTTTTTCAGCCGCAAAACCCTACCCCCTCCTTTACACCTACAGTTGGTACGTTCCGTGACGTCACTGATCGAGATTACTTGTACTGTAATTGTACGTGTATCGAATTTTCAGGGATTTGCTAGAACCAGTCGCACCGGTACCTGTACGCAAGGAACACAATGTCGACTGCTCTATCGATCTGTTTCCTGGCCTGCCTCTTTGTCTTCTATCCAGGTGGGTTTCGAGTCATTTCTTTTCTTCTAATCCCGTATTTTCTTCCAATTTAACTACAATTAATAGTAACGAAATTGTGAACTACAGGGTTAGAGTTAGAGCACCGTGGACCACTGTATGTTCAGTGTTGTAGACTATTAGAAGAATGGCGCTATAAAGAAGTGTATGCATAGGTGCCTAACCACTCAATGATAATATATTCAGTGTAGATGTGTATCGGCCAGTGCTATGCAGCCCAGCTATACAGACGGTAACAGATGCATGGATTTATATATAGCTATTTTGGCCAAGGACTCGTGACAGAAATATGATCCGGCGATTTGATATCTTTCTTTGGTACATTTATGGTACAGCAACTAGACCATGTTACTATAAATTCAATGTATATAATCAGATGGGACTTAGGTTGCATATCAGTCTACAAATAGACTATTATATAATGTTAATTCCCGATATTTTTTCTGGTTAAAATCGAAGCTGCAGTGAAAATAGGTCCATGTAAATATCTGTTAGGTTTCTCCACTCTCGTTGACCCATATAACGGTTGAATTTGTGTCAGAATGAAACAAGGAAATAAAAACGCTTGTATCGGGCGAAACATCCGGTGTACTTCGTCTAAATGCCGAAATACAATGACCTGGACTTGTTCCAAGCAGGGCTCGAAATTTGTTATTGGTGAATAGGTGCACTGGTGCACCCAACCTAAAAATTGTGTGCACAAAAATCTTTCGGTACACTACAACTACTACAAGAACGATTTTATTATAATTCTGACACTTAGATGTGAAGATTTGTACATGCAGGCCTGTGTACATGCTGTATATATTTAATGTCTTTGCATACGCAATGCTACGAAAATATTTGGGTGCTCCAGTTCACCCACAGAAAAAAGAAAATTGGGTGTACATGCACCCAGTATTTCAAGCCCTGTTCATGTACTGACGTTGCGTAAATTGATCATGTGTATACATAGCCATTGGAAACATGATCGAAACACTGGGAATTATGAATTATGTACTCAGGGTCTAATAATTTTAGCAAGGTACTGTATGTTTACATTACGGTTTATGAAGAACTCTAGGGGAGGGGCAGTAGTGGCCCGTAATGAGATTATCAATGCACCAATGAGGATTAAACCATCTAGATCAAACTGTAGGATTACGTGTATGCATTAGAAACTAGATCTTACAGTCATCTGTCGAAAGAAGGAAATAAATCCAACTACCTTGGGTGCTACTAGACAAATATCAGGCCGTTAGCCGTTTTCCTTCGGCAGCCAGAAGCCCTTCGCCCGCCTATCTAAATTACCGCTTCGGGGCCGGGGAGTTGAGCCCAGGAGGGAGTTGTAGGGCCAGCCAAACTCTCCCGTAGCGGTAATTTAAACAGGCGGACGAAGGGCTTCTGGCTGCCGTAGGAAAACGCCTGTCAGCCCCAAACGAGTCTGTCACACAGGATTAAGTCCGACAGGATGTGACGAGGGCAGAGCCTGGTAGTATCGGTAGTACTTGTGATTCATTGCGTTGGATGTAAAGCTCACTTCCCCTCCCCACCTAATATTCTGTACTAAGTGTTTTGTACAGTCAGTTCAGCTCATTGAATTTTTGTTATCTTTTAATTGCGTTATAAGATTGCATTTCGTTGCCTTATATAATGTGTAATATCTAAGTTTTACAGTTGCTTTGTTGTTTATTTGTATAATTACGCTTCGTACGTTTACTAAACATATGTTTATCTATGTTTTATGCAAGGTGTTACGACACTGATTTATCTAGTTAAATTAATAACTTAATTAGTTAATTAATTTTGTAAAACTTATCTGTTATCTGTCATAGTACTACTTGTTTTATTACTACTATTATAATTTGTAAAATGTCGGTGGAAGATCCCGGGCAAGCCATGAAGGCTTTTTATCTCCTCCCTCCAGCATATTCTCCTTTGCTAATACTACTCTCTTTTGTTTAATAGCATGCTAATTTTACTACATGCTAGTTTTAGTACATGCTCATTTTACTACTTCTTTACATACAAAAATACAATAAAATCGAGTTCCTAGTCATTGTTTACTGTCGCTTACTGTCCCGCAATGTAAATGATGATGAAACACAATTTTCTTATTGTTTAGGTGCGGAAGGCCTGGAGGTATGTTATAAAGACCTCGGCTGCTTCTCCAACGCTCGGCCTTTCTTTAGTGCACAGCGCCCCCTATCGCTTCTACCTCAAAGTCCAGCCAACGTGGGTACGACTTTCGGACTCTTCACACGAGAAAACCCCACAACGCAGGAACGGAAGAAGCTATTGGCCGAAAGGGACGATCTTCTGGAAGAGTCCACTTTTAACGGAGGGAGGAAGACAAAGTTCATCATACACGGTTTCCAGAACAATGGACACCGACCGTGGGTCTACAACTTGACAGACGAACTACTTAAAGAGGTGAGGACAAGAAACATTTAGACCCTGCTGGGAAATGTTTATCATCAGTTCGGCTTTCATGTCAGGGGTGTAAATTCTTCCATCTTTGATAGCATTGTCCTAGCCATGTGTATGTGTTTGTCACTGAATGATTGTACTGTCTGTTTTAACAGTCAAAAGTCAAACGCTTGATTAACAAGAAATGCTTTTACAAAAAGCTGGCCGGGAGCAAGAGGAGAATAGCTGATTAGGTGGTATGGCTTAAATAAATGGTCATTTTGGTGACTTGAATTGGACTAAGGCTAATAAAACTGTTCCTAGATGCACAATTGCAATGTATCATGGACTCCTTTCTTACGGAACAGAGCTATTTTATCAGCGGCTACGTACGGTAAAGCTAGAATTGCGTCCCTTCACTTTGTTTTATTCTGCCCGACAGGGTGACTATAACGTGATCGTTGTAGACTGGAAGGACGGAGCCGGCCTGCCCTACACACAGGCGGCCGCCAACACCCGGGTAGTGGCCGCCGAGACAGCGAGACTTATCCGCTACCTCAACAACCGGGTAAGCACATGGGATATGGGTCATTCTATTCTATTCTATTCTATTCTATTCTATTCTATTCTATTCTATTCTATTCTATTCTATTCTATTCTATTCTATTCTATTCTATTCTATTCTACTCCATTTTATTTTATTTTATTTTATTTTATTTTATTTTATTTCATTTCATTTTATTTTATTTTATTTTATTTTATTTTATTTTATTTTATTTTATTTTATTTTATTTTATTTTATTTTATTTTATTTTTATTCTATTCTATTTTATTTTTATTCTATTCTATTCTCTTCTGTTCTATTCTAATTCATTCTATTCTCTTCTATTCCATTCTATCCTTGCATACATGATGATACTGCACCAAGTGGCCATTGATAATATTCTAAAGGTCTAAACATAGAATATATTAGCCTTGTAGTATTGTAGATCAATAGCTCGTACTTATTTTATTCTATTCCCAAAGTTACACCAGATACATTATGACTTTCATGAAAAGTAATCAAGTATACAGAGTTTACAATCCATGGCCAGTTTATAGGGGTTTGAGATATGATTAAAAATTAAGGAAATGTGTATAGTTTTAGTTAGTTGCATGTGTTGTTCGTTTGCGTGTACTGACCGATATATAGTCACGGGTACCCATAGTTTCAATGAATGGCTAAATATTTGATTTTGTTGAAATGAGAAAAAAACATGATTCTTTATTGTCTCGTCTCGGCAAAAGTATGGTGATAACCTTTATGGATTAAGGTTTTGATCTTATTTTAAAAGTCGAAACGTCTTCTGAAAAGCATAAAAAGAGAGGCCTATGTGAAGTTGATCATTAAACCACACTTAAGCCAAAAGAGAAATATTACTTCACGAAAAAAATATTTTCTCCCTATCCTGTGTCCAGACCGCAGCGGACTGGACAGAGATGCACATAATCGGGCACAGTCTGGGCGCCCACACCGCGGGGTACGTGGGGCATGGACTGGGCGGGCAGCTGGGCAGGATCTCAGGTAACTAACACAGTCTGGGCGCCCACACCGCGGGGTACGTGGGGCATGGACTGGGCGGGCAGCTGGGCAGGATCTCAGGTAACTAACACAGTCTGGGCGCCCACACCGCGGGGTACGTGGGGCATGGACTGGGCGGGCAGCTGGGCAGGATCTCAGGTAACTAACACAGTCTGGGCGCTCACACCGCGGGGTACGTGGGGCATGGACTGGGCGGGCAGCTGGGCAGGATCTCAGGTACTTGGTATGAGCTGAGACGGGGGGCGCCACAAGTTATCTGGCAAGTACAACCCGCTACTACGGCCACTTGTCTGACGCCTCGTTCCAAGAGTAGACGGGTCACAATTGATTTCAGTGTTGGAAATTATTCAGTCTTTTCTTCATAATACATTGTAAATGTACAGACTTCTGTGCAACTGACTTATATAAAATCTCAGGTCCTTTAAATATAAGAATAGCACACTATATATACGTGTTATTTTGTCCAAAAGACGATGAAAAAATCACCTAGAGTAGCATATCTTCAATTTCTTTATTTCTTCAATTTAGTTAATTGCTATAGAGTTTGATGTTTGGTCGAGGTCACATATCAGATATAATATAATAAGGTGTTTTTAAATCGTGTTCAGCCACCCTATGCTCGTAGTCGGAGAAACAGTGAAACCTATGAAACTTTGCCACCTATCTACTGTACTTACAATGATGGATCGAATTGCCACCAGGCCTGGATCCCGCTGAGCCGTTGTTTGAACACACGGACCCGCTGGTGAGAATCGACCCTACAGACGCAGCTTTCGTGGACATCATCCACACTGATGGCTCCAGTATTCTCACTCTAGGTGAGTTCTCATATTGGAGCAAATATGGGCCATAAGTGTACTACGTAAAATAAGGCTCGAAGAAGTATCGACTGCATGTTCTGTCGTGTTTATGTCATTCCTTGTAACGTACGTTAGATTTTTCATATGCCTCAAACTGTCAAAATATCAATGGCAAGATATCTAGATGATGTAACGTTTATGTTGTTTTCATTGATATACCTGAGATTTCGTTCTTATTATGCTTGATAATCATTAAACTAGAACATGAATTCGAAGTACCAAATTGAATACAATATTAATTTTTTTGTGTTAATAGATACAATGTGTCTGTAAATCATCTTTAAACTAAATTGAAGTCTTGTTTAAATCTTAAAGGATTTTTTTAAGCTAATAGAGATGTGCTGAGTTGAGATAATGTTTCGTTCCCGGCAGGCCTTGGGCTTGACCAGCCGGTGGGTGACGTAGACTTTTACCCAGAAGGCGGTGCGCGGCAGCCAGGCTGTGGTGCGGAGAGCATCATTTCTAAGATCGGAGTGATCGCAGAGGGACTAGTGACAGACGGGGTTAAAGGTGAGACATCGTATTTGTGATCTTATAATATCTTCGAAGAAGAAAATGTATAGTTATGTTTACCTGGTACCTTCGTCAGTTTCTTCGTCTTCCTATCCAAGCACATAAGGTCAATGGACCAGACGTCTGTCACCATGGTAACTTCTGTCGTGAAAAACCCTTGGTTTTGGATTACATTACGTATCAGGACATAGATGGGGGGTCACCCTGTACTAGCTATATGTACGGATGTGTTTTAGTAAGAATTATAATTAGAATTGGTAGTTTTTTTTAGGCAGCCTATACCAAAGAGGTTTAAAATGTTGATCTTTAATCTCCTTGCAATTGGCTACATTGGATGGTCCAATTTTTTAATCTGCTTGACACAAGTTTCCGGAAAGGTAGTTACTGTAGTTAACTTTCATGTAATGATAAACTCTTTCTATTTTTTCCTTATCCCAGACACATACACACGGGTATGTGCATGTGTATGTATAAGTTAAACTCAGGTGTGTGCAAGTAAAGCTTTGTATTAAATTCAGTTACCCGTATGTAGTAAATAAGAAGTTCACGGTTTCTCCCTCTGACTCTGTTTTTATCCCCCCTGATTTAGCGGCCAAGAACGCCTTCAGCTGCAGCCACACCAGAGCCATAGAACTGTTTACCGAGTCCATCAACTCTCCATGTGAGTTCACGGCGTACCCGTGCTCCAGGTGAGAAAGGCACCACAATATTTTCTCACGACATATTTGTTATGGTTTGTACATGTAAAATGTCTATTCTGTCGGACGAAACACATATGCAAAAGCAGAAGTTGATAGTTGGTCATGGCCATGGCCATGGTCATTTATTACAATCTTAGGATCCACTGAAGCTTGCCATATTGTGTTTCTTTCCACTCATATGCAAATTGTGCTTCTACATATAAATAGCTCAGCAATTCATTTAAAGCAATACGATGGTGAAGGTTGGAAATTCAGGTATATAACACATTCAACAATTTAAAGAAAGTAAATCAAACAACCAGTTAAGGTATTAAACGTAATATTAACGTATTAAACAAAACCCAAATTTCAAATTATATTTTCAACATCACAAAGAAATGAACCTTTGTATTAGAGTAGTTTTACTGCTACTGTTGTTCTGTTTTAGGGTAGATTTAGAGCTAATGTTGTTAAATTAGTATCAGTACGTAGTCCTGTATGTACTGTATACCTTTGCATCTGTTTACCTGTACTTAGCCTGATAGGGAATGAATGTGCAAAAAAGGTTACCTGATTATTCAAGAGAGTGAAACGATTCAGTCATCACCCATATTTTTTCACCAGTCGTGAACTATGAGTGTATTTCTAAAGACAAGTGGTGATAGTGTTGATTTTCTCATACACATTTCTGCTAATCTGGGTACCATCCTACTTGTATGCCGGGGCTCCCACACTCCCTACTTGTTAGGGAAGCGAGTGTGGGAGCCACGGCATACAAGTAGGATGGTACCCAGGCTACATTTCTGCATATTTCTGTACAGCTGGGATGACTACGAGGCGGGAGAGTGTACTGACTGTGACGGCAGTTGTTCTGTGATGGGATTCCATGCGGACAAACATGGCGGCGCTGGACTACTGTACCTCAACACCAACGACAAAGACCCCTTCTGCCGTAAATACATTTCAGTCCATCTCGAGGACTTCATTTTATGGATGACATGACGGGCGTGCAATGATTTTAGTTTAAAGTTCTAAAAAAATCAACCCCGAGGAGGCAAACCTGGGTGCCATCCTCCGTAGTCGGTGGTAACTAGCGTCAATATATAGGGAGCCGGCAGTAAGTACATACGGCCTGGCTACGAGGCTACAAAGAACTCCCGAACTCAGTACACTGCCGACTCATATGTCGCAAAAGACCAGCATGTGGCGGCTTGTCGTAAAATAATTACTTGACGCAAATATACTACCGCATTCGGCAAATTCGCAATACTTTGTACTCCTGTGGTTTAGCAGCATTTCTTGGGCTGGATTTTTTTCATTCGCCCTGATTGGCATTAGTTAGTCTTTAGAGGGTGTCATCCATAAAATTAAGTCAGTGTGGCCTAAGTTTGACTAGTATGGAATCTAACCGGGAACACCACATACGAACTCCGTTCTTTACGTCTGTTGTCCGTTGGCATTCAAACGATTAAAATTTGCATATTCCACAAAATTCAATATGCATGCCAAGAGGATGTAGTGGTTGTAACGTTTAAGCCTGGATTTCAGGCTAATTTAATAAATAAGTATTGGATTATCCTCATTAGAATATAATCAGCATAGTTGTAGATAATGGGTTCGTTAAAAATGTGTGTGAATAGATTTATACATATGTACATGCGTTAACATCTGAACGTCTTAATATTTTGACTATTACTTCTTGACGTTTTGTGTCATAAAATATCAGCTTTATTCTTTAAAAAATGTGTTTTTTTTAATTGCAGTAACAGACGTGGCCCTGAGGAACCGGAGCAGGTACTGTGTACAGTCTCTTACACGTCAGAACCAGACTGTGATAGAACGATGCGTCAACACGATGGAATCAGTCTTCCTCAACTTCTCCACTAACATGAAGGACAACGTTGCAGAAGAAATCTTCTGTAGGTCAGTAACAAAACACTCAATTTTTACTCTAAAACTTTATTACCTTCGCTAGAAAGCTATGTTTTCTGTTTTTTTTATTCCAACATGTAATCACCAGACGTGGTGACGACATACTCAAGTTTTTTCAACTTATATTAATGCCGCCATCAACACAGGGGACAAATACATGACAGGACAATACTCATTTACACCTGAGCGAAGTGAGGAAAGTCGTGGCACAAGGGCACAAGATCGGTGGCATGTCAGGACTCGAACCCGCGACTCTAAGCTCCGAGTCGCGCACTCTGCCGCTACGCCACACGACACAAACATTTTCTGTTTGGCAAAAGTGGAGGGATTGTGGATGCGGCTGCATAACTCTTGAACCCATGGATGGATGTTCATTTCTGTTGGAGAGCTGTTGAGAAGGGGAATGTTAAGAGAATGGGCCTTATGTCGGGTTCTTATTGCGTTATTGCAGTAAGACGTTTTGTTGGTTTATTTGTGAATAGGATACCCTGAAATGTAATGGATAATTTAGTAGGTGGGTATGGTTAAGTCAAAGAAAGGTGAAGTTTGATAATGTATATGGATACAGTTTAGACAGTATTGCACAGGGGCGTGCTCACCTTTGTCCTTTTCTTTTTTTCTGATTTTATTATCCCATTGTCTATGTTTTAGTGAATATTGTCACGGATTTGTATCAGTGGTCAACACAATTCAATAACTATTTGAAAAAGGGTTACAATTGCCTATCATAAGTATATTTTTTTAGCTTTTTTTTTAAAATGTTATGACGTTATAACTCACACTTTGCTATTGTTCACATATACTTAAATTGATGTAACAGCCTAAGTTTGATTTCTTTTTTAAATTTCCTATGTACAGTGAGTACGAACTGTTCCTGAAATGCGTCACGGCAGTGTTGGACACAGTCCAGCCTTGTAAAGACACAGCCGTGAAAACCGTCATAGGTAAGTTACAAACACTATAAACAACATAAGTACGCGCCTCGTTTTCGTGCAAAATCACGTGCGTTCGCGCAGCGCCGTACTCTCGCGGGACCGCTTTTCAAAATGGCCGCGGAGATTGGAATTACGTCTATTCTATGTCGGGCGTTCTCCTTATCCACTCTGTTATCTTAGTACAACACTTTTGTATCGTTATCTATACCTTTCTACATTTATTATATTAGTTTGCAGAAGACATATTGTTTTGCTCTGTTTCTTCTTCTCCATAAAATATGGTCAATGACCTGTACCAGACGGCTGTCACCATGGTAACTAGTGTTGGATTACACTAACATACTAGTACTTATATATTTGCAAAGTGGTTGAACAGGAAGCTCAAGGGACTAGTCACCATATATGGTGTGTGAATACATTATGTAGCAAAGTGGCATGACGCTGTAGGGACTGATCACCAAAAAATATAAATTGAAATAGAAAGGTAACATTTGCAAAGCAAATGCATAATGTTTACCTTCACATTGTCTAGCCCAGCAAACTATTTCACTGTTTATTCTTACTCAAAGACAAATACATTCATATGTATAGTGAACAACCTCTCCAACTCTGTTCTGCTACATAATGTAACCACAGGGTGTTGCTACACCACAAGTTACCATGGTGACAGACCAGACGTCTTTCAGGTCATTGAATTGTTTGAAAGGGAAGAGGAAGAATAAGATACTGAGCGAAAACAATATGTTATCCTTCAGTGAACGTAAACATATTTTTTTGTAGAAGCAATTCAATTCTGTGATTTGGATTTTGAAATCGTACCTCTCTAGGTTCAGCCTACACGAACTACTCTCTCACGGCAAACTACGAGTGCGACGATCGGCACAAGAGTTACCGGGGCGGGCAACCCTCCGTTCTGGGACAGACGTACCTCAGCATGTGGATAAACATGGCTGCTGTCGTACTGTGCTTCTTCTTGGTCACCAGACAGAGTCGTTAGATGATTCTTTTGCAAATATAGTCTGTTCACGTTGTTGTGCCTAGTCTGAAACTGACACGTTTTTTTTTAAATTGAAAGTTTGACTCAAGCATTCGTTATTCTTATTTTTTGTCACTTCAGTTATGTTGGTTCCTCTGCATACAACTTAACCATTAATAATTCTTACATAATTTATATGGGGTTAAGAGACTACGTTCGGACAGTAGAATAACTGCACTGTATGATAGTAGAAAAAGGAATTTTGCGCACACAATAAACACAGTGATATTGTACCAGTGCCTTACATTTTTATTCATATTTGTGTTTTGGTGCCACCTCCAAATACGTTTTAATATGTATACAAAATGGCTTTAAATGGACCCTTAGTTTTATACCGTTTCATATGTATATTCTCAATACAGTTAAGACCATTGTCCCCCTCCCTGAGCCTCCCTGCCTCATTGACTGACAGCCCAACTTTCAAGTGTAATGTACACTTATTGGGTGGTTATTTTCTGACATTTCCGACAACTACTAAAGCACAAGGTCAAAGGCAAACTCTCTGCCTACATAAATTTTGTGAATAACTTGCTAATATTATAATATTGATATAATAAGCACATCTAAATTTATAAACTTCAAGTGCCCGGCGGGACCCCTAGACAAACTTTTTTTCCAGCAAATTTGGTATGTATGTATTTGTCAGTAAAAACTCTGTAACATCCCATCGATCCCAGATGTATCATTGTTATTACAACAGAGATATTATCTAATATGTTCAGAGTTTTGGCAAAAATCACATGCTTGCAATATTCATACAGGGTCAGCAAAGTGTTGGAAATGTTGTGCACTCTGGGCCCGACACAGTGTTGTAGAACAACTTGTCTACTTTCTATACATGTGTTCAGTAACTCAAAAGAATGTTGTATGTGGATGCGCTTTTAGGGCAAAAATAAGATCACAAAAATTGAACTTCTGGCTTCTTATGAACTGAAATCTGATCACTTTGTTGGGATAAGTGGACAATACAGCCAATTAACTTGTTGACATAGCATGTTCCTTGTTGGGGACCAGACTACCCGAGGAGAACAATAGGCAGTTCACGACTTGTCCACACCTTTACCTGCTAGTGCCAGACAGTCAGCTTGGCTTGGTTTATCAGCAATAAACAACCATTGTTTCAGGGTTCCAAGTACTAGTACATTGTAAGACTAGAAAAAGACTACTTTATCAAAAATCCATTTCTTGATCCAACATACTCTACAACAACATAAGGAACAAGTCGATAACATCAAAAGTATAACTATAATGTGGTTGGAGCAAGCTTTTTAACAAGTTGATTACACTGACGCACTCACTATCCAGTTTACTAGTATCGTCTGTTGTTCCCCGACGCAAAAGGGTTCTATAGAGCTGCTACAACTTACCAAAATTCGAAAAAAAGTGTGTGAAAGGTTTTACCTATGTCAAACCACTAGTCTAAACACTAGTATAAGAGTACTCTCCTAAGTCCTGTAATAAAAATTGCTCATCAAAAAAACCAAACGGCATCAAATCCAAAAAAACATGGAGGGTTATCAGACTTTTGATTATCAACGGTACCCCTGGTGTTTATGATAAATATACTCAGGTTCTCCTTTATTAAAGTCTCAGTGTTATATGGTTTTATGCCTTGTCAGGCTATTTGCAATGAAAATGTCACATTTGACAGAACAATCGACCATTGTGTAATGTTGAGATCTGGGAATCACAGAAATTAATAACACTAGATATATGGAATCCTTTGTCAATTATAATACACATCCAGCACTGTTCCTAGACAGCCAAACATTTCACACTCCACAGAGGCCAGGTATCACCTCACCTGGTTCACCGGCCCCCCTCTTGCAATGTTTTCACACTGGGCAGGGTCAGGGCAATTATCAAACAATAGGAGAAATCGGGAAAATTCAGGGTCAAAGGTTGTATCCATGTGTTGCTAAGGCGCCTGACGCCCAAATTGCTGGGGGGTCGTGAAATGGTCTTAACTCTACTGAGTTTACCGAAATGATGAAACATTTTATTTTCAGTTGACATATTTTTTAACGCTTTTATGTTGTAAATAATGATGTAACAAACATGACCTATGGCTTTAAATATTAACAAGGCTATGAAAATTTTTGTTGGGCTACACATTACGCTATTTGAACTGGACGGTGTTTATTACCTTTTCTAATGCCTTTTGTATAAACGTGTGTAGTTTATGTAAATTGTAGTGTAAAATAGGACCACATGCAAAGTACATGTTCAGTAGAATATGGTTCCACAATGTCACTAATTTCTCACCATGTTAAATAATAAACACAAAGGCTACATTTACAATGTCTACTCGTGCCTGTATGTGCATGTTTTGGTGTAAGTAAGTTATATTACATATGTGCTTCAGGGGTCTTTATATTACACAACCACCATATCCCACGGTATTATTACATTATATTGTTCGTGTGAAATATAATAAGCAGTCTTTGGATGGATTTCATTTCTAACCAAAGTTATCCATTAAAAATTAACTATGGTGCATTATAATTCTAACTAACCCATGAGTATGCTGCTCACAGAAATGTAAGAACATTGTCGTACATTGGACCGCCATTTCTAGAACTATCCCTCAAACGCTCCAGCAAATGAGATAGAAAAGCTATATAAAATTATGCATTTACCTATTGGACGGCCGTTACTATCACCCATTATACTGAACGTTTTGATCCACCTGATGCTTACATTTTAAAGCCGGAGCCTGGCCGGGCTGTTTACATAAAGGAAAAACAATTCATATAAAGAGTATGCACAGCACAAGAATTGCTGATGATCAGTTGTTACCAGTAAGAATTGCTACTTCTTTGTCTTTCCTTTCATACTTTTCTGTATCGGTGCTATGGGACCGGTGAGGTGAGGATCGGTATAGCCGGTATAACCGCCGTTCGGCGCGGCGGCAGCTAGCTACATCACATCGATCTACTTGTTAACCTTGGTCTTTGCACATTTGATTGCAGGAGTTGTTTAAAGCGTTCTAGTGATGATGCCCCAACTGTGCTTGGTGGTAACGAGTTCAAGTCTACGATAGTTCTGGGGAAATACGAGTTTTTGAATATCTCAATTCTTGGTTGATAACTCTGATATTTGAAGGCATGACTATTTACGTAAACAGCCCGGCCGGGCTCCGAGTTGGAAATGTGACCTCAGCATTATTTACATTACACTGATATCGGTGTTCCCCGCACACAGGGTTGTAGAACACCGTTAGTAGGCAGGATCCCCATCCTTCCGTCACGAACTCTGGACACCTGGAGCCACACTCCTGTAGGAATTAGATAGATACAAGACGATAACACATGATATGATCAAGGACATTATGTCACATTATTCTCTTCGTATGATCGAAACTACGCCTTTCTGATTGACGTCAGGCCACACCAAGTAATCGTATGGATGGCGTCCTCTGACCTAAAGAAGGACCACAAAAACAATACGTCTGGATTTCAAATAAATGTTAGGGTATAAATTGAATGAGAGAGTACACAGTAACAACCAACAGGTCTTTTATTACTCGTGAAAACAGCATTAAGCCAGTGGAAGAGCAGTTGTCGTCCTGTCCTGTTTCTTGTGCTCATATTTTGCGTTACGGGTTTTACGTTAATCTTGCGGTTTGCGGAACTCTCGTGACTTTTTTTATGGGAACAGGCAAAAATCAACGCGCACTAGAAGGCCATCCATAAAAACTACTTGGTGTGGGCTTGCCAGAAACTTCCTGACGTACAAGACGTAAAGGGTGTGAATACATATATTATGTCCTTACCAGTATTATCAGTTGTTCCGTCAACTCTCACCACGTCGTCTTTTAGGAATGCCATATTTTCATTCGGCAGCTGGTTGTCGCACTCGTATATGACGATACCAAACTTGTCGCCTGAGGCAAAAGAAAACAAGATAAAATGTTACATACTGTTGACACAATTAACACAAGGCACGTTTGTACATGTGTACTTGAATTGTTAACATCAGTTCCCCAAAGATACAGTTCATAGCAACTATATTCGAATATGTTTTAATCAATAAATTAATAATTAATATGATTGAGATTATATTCATTATGATTAATTCAAACATCAACATATTTTATTAATTAGCTTGCCGAGAAAGGGATAATATTATCAATATTATCTGTTGTTGATATTGATTTCATTATTATTATTATTATTATTATCATTATTATCATCATCATCATTATCATCATCATCATTATTATTATTATTATTAACCCTTACCATAGACACCCGACAACGTCTGTCCTTCTCTGTCCAGCTGTTGTGCCGGGACGTCCATCAGTAACTCAAGTAGCTTTGTGTCCTCTCTGCAAATAAAAGAAAACAAGTTGAAAGTCACCAAATAATAAGATATTGTATACTGTAATGAACAAATTACCATATACTGATGTTGCGTTTCTTAGGCCATTCTTAGGCTATCTTCTTATTCGATTTTTTTAAAACCTGGCGTACAGAAATCCAGTGTGATAACTTGATATTGTCAGACATTATAATCTTAATTTCGTTGAGGCTTTACGCCAAGTATAACGTTGGTTCTCTCCATGGTTGGGTGTTTGACACATTACCGTTTGAATGCAAACGAAGCATATGTCACCAAAAAGTGACGCAATTCTTTCGCCGCACGTAACTAACCGATATTGCAAAACTGTTACAAAATGTCTCAATTAGAAAGAGATCACGATACAATACAATTGTGCATCTGAGTCCAGTCTTCAGTCCAGTCCAGTTCAGTCCAAATCAACTTACAAAGGTAAGTTGATTTGTCCGGGTACAATTACAAAGTAGAACATCGTCATCACACTCACGCCACCCAACCAGCAAGCATGTCTTAGAAAGCTTTTTTGTTGTCTGTTTCCTACTTACTTGGAGTCCGGGTACAGCACCCGCTCGGCGGTTTTGCCCTCGTGGTTGGCCCGGAAGGTGACTTGGTACAGCGGTTTGTCCTTCCCGAAGGCGCGACACACCGCGGCACCTACAGGCTGAACCTCCACAAGCCCCCTGGCGGCGTAGTCTAGAACTTCAAGTTTCTTCTGCTCTCTGAGACGAGAAAAATCTTGTTAAGTATTGCTGAAAGTAAACTGCCCTGTGGGAGACTCTGTATATAACGAGGCTCTTTTCACAAAACCAGTTAGTGTTTCATTCAGCCCACGTTTCGGTGACCTTCTGTCACCTTCTTCAGGGCAATTTTTAGTGGTTCACATTGCACAGCATAGATATCGCTGCGCTTCCAAACGCAAAGTACTTACATATGTGCACATGCGCATAGAACAACATTTACAATGCGCTCCCAAACGTGACAGACTGTCATCAAAACGTTGGCTGAATAAATCACATGGTTGTATCGTCGTATTATTCAGTGACTTCCCACAACTTAAGAACTTTTTAGTAAAGTAATGCGGAAGAATAGACTTTGTAGAACTCTGGAAGTTTATGATTTCAAGCAATTGCTCATGCCATAAAGTTCTGGTTGAATGTACGGAAGAGGGAAATAAACACTCACTTTTGTGCCAGCAAAACCAGATCGTTGCACAGGATGAGCTGCACAGATGTCTTGTTTTTTCCCTCCCTCACTTCCGTCACAGTCCCGATTTTCTCCAGCCACCGTTCCGGGGACGCGACCTCGGCTCCCTTCAAGGAAAACGTCAACAATCTTAAAACGACTTTTTAAGAGGTTCTTTTTTTACGAAACCAGTAGTGTTTATTCAGCCCATTAGTGTTTTATTCAGTCCACTACATATAGTATGTTCAGAATGCCAAGATGTACATAGTGGCGGGATGCATAAGTGCTCGCTACATTCAGGACCTTTATAGAGATCTAGAGCTTCCATCCTACCATTCGTACAGGCGATATCTGTTAACAACGCAAAAGCGGTCCAATTTAGAAATTATGTTTCTGTGGTCTAAATTTACCTTAGTATTCTTGAATGATAGTCGTCCCTGTAGTTCCATGGAGTCAGCCATGCTCCGAGCAGCTTCGTTACACCTCTTGATAGCCTGACGTGGGTTTATGATTTAATGACTCAAGATGAATTATTGGCAAATATTTTCAACAGCAGTCTATCAGCACTCCATCAATCCCATTCGAAATACTAGATCTATTTGAACAATTGCATGCAACACGATAAATATGGACAGGCAAAATGTTAGCAGAGCATAAGATCCTTTTCATTATTACCGAATAGGACAAAGGGTATTTTGAACACATACTGGCAGACAGAAGTTTGACTCACCACTTTGCTCGCCTTGAGTGCCTCTGTAGCCCATTTCTCGTCGTCGGATCCAGAAGGCGCGTACTTCAACACGGTCTGGTCATAGAAAACACAGACGGAATAATGTTTAAAGTCATTGACACTAAACTCAAAGTCCCATAACCATCAAATATCGAATCGCATACATGCTGTACCTTTGAATCAGTTGATACTTTCTAACAACCAGTCCTTGTAGACAGTATATCTACAGGAAGCAATGGTTTAGACTTTCAATTGGTGTTTTTGACGTCTGCGTGTCTTTCGGTGTTATCGGGCTTTTCCCACCAACATAACATTCCCGCCAATTTGTTACTGTCTTGCCAATCTCATACTGCCTTGCAGCTACAAAAAGATCTGCTTGGTTTACAGAAGTTCAACTTCAGTGTACATACATGACACCATTTTGTTATGACACTGTTTATGACCCCCTCCCGCCCACTAAATTTTTACCTCTAACAACAGCGGAAGACGAGTCACGTGCTGCATGGGCATCACCAGGAACGAGTTGAAGTTGTTACCACGGCAACACGGATCTCCCTCCAGCTTACTCAGCCGCTCCTTGAACAGCTGGTCAGTCAGGCTGCAAGAAACACATGATGACTTGAGTCATATATTTGAACAAAATTTGTATATTACCTACGATATTTTGCTTGTTAAATTCCTATCATTTGGCAATATTTCAAGTCAACATGTCCTTCGTAATTATGCAAATGACCTCTATATTAACATAATATATGCATATTAATGTTAACCTTTAAGTAACTTACACATGTCACAAGGTATGATTACTATTACCATTTCAGTCACAGAGTCTGTTAAAGATTTGTGCACAGCTATATATTGTAATTGTGACAAAAACTTACTTGCTAACCATGAAATAAAATTGTTGACGATACGTAGGATACTGGAATTTTCTTTTACACAACAAGTTTAGGGAGCAGTGCTTCAGTTAGAAGCTCTGAGGAAGATGCCTCGTAGGCATCGAAACGTAATCACTTTGTGCCCCTATATTGGGTAAATCATCGATTTGTCGTTTCTTTTTTTCCTTATGCTTGATTTTTATTTATACTTTATTTCAGGCATCAAATTCCCATATATTTAGAATTTAAAAACAGAAAGACACATAATTTTATACAGACTCTGAGTCTGAGATAAATACACCAATACAGGTCAAAAGAGTAAGATACAATACAGTGGTGTTAATAATGAATAAATTATCGTTTGTAGACCAGACCAACATAGTGCTGCCAGTAGACACTGAGAGTGTTTATATCACAGTGAATCGCTAGCTTTATGATACCGCTGTTAAGAGTTGAAGAGACTAGTGACAAACGAATGTGTCCATTTCCTTCTATGGGCATCAAAAGTTGTTTGACATAAACATTTTGCCGGCACTCTTGCATTGTCCATATTGTGCAAACAAGACTCTAACATGTTTAGAGTTAAAACTTTAGATCCAACCCTAAAAATTCTCTCACCTAGAGCTTCAAAGAAGCTATGTGACAAGCCTCACTGGGTCTGTCTATTGAGGAAGACCAGAGCGACTGGTCGAAAGCTCTAGGTGAGAGAACTTTTTGTGTTGGATCTAAAGTTTTAACTCTAAGTCTAAACATGTAATGAAGAACGGGGGCCGACATCGTCTATGATCTACCAGATACCAGTGTTGACGTCACACTTCAAAGAAGCCACGTGACAAGCTTCACTGGGTCAGTCTACTGAGGAAGACCAGAGTGATTGGTCGAAAGCTCTAGATGAGAGAATTTTTTGTGTTTGACCAAAAGTCTTAACTTCAAACATGTAACTACCAACACAGATGAACTTTCATGATAGTATGTAATTAAGAAGTTGAACACAGATGAATTTTCATGATAGTATAAGATTCTAACATACCTGAGTTTCTCCAGCAGGATCTCCTGGTACCTCATGGAGCGGCAGTACTTCTCATAGTCGTGAAAATACCGGCTGCAACTTTCCCACAGGATCTTACAGAAGGTCGTCATCATGACGTCATCGTGGAGCGACTTCTTCATCTCTCTGAAGACGCTGGAAGTAGCGAGAACGCGCATGCGTTACTTCATAATTATTGAAGTGAAATGTTTAGTTATTGTACCTAGGCATTTTTACTGATATCACAGGATATTGGGTCGGAAATTTTAAACAGTCTGTGATGATGTTTGTTTGTTTGCTTGTTTGTTTTAGAAACCTCAAATAAGTGCCAATACAACCATGCACTAGTCTTACAAACAGTATTCTTATCTGCATTGTAAAATAAAAACATGATAACAACTATTTACATTCGCCATCTAATAACAATACCAACAATTATTTAAAAATAAACGTCATTGAAGCAACTTCTTCACATTTTACATCAATTAATAATCTCATTAAACAGTATTACATAAAATATTAGCCTGGATAATTATTAGCTAGGTGGCCTATCGTCTTAACTGTGCTTGCTAAGACATGCTAAGAGAACGTAAAATTATATATGTTTACAATGACATGAACCTTTAACAAGGAAGAAAAGTACCTTGTTCATGCAACAAACAAATGTCAAAAAGATAATCTGTAGTGTGGTGTGTGTTCGCCTAACCTGGTGGTGATTGACAGGAGGTTGTCGACATAGGCGAACAGCCGTCTGTGGTAATGTGGTCCGAGGATGAACATGAGGGTTTCGTCATCCTCGAAATGATCAGCCAGAACCTGGAGGCTCCGCATGTAGGACGACTGTTTACTCAGGATCTCGTACTTGGCCTGCCCATTTTTAAATTTCAGATACCATTATTCAGAAACAGGGCATGGTATATATGTATATATCGCATCCCTCTAGAGCAAAGGATTTGCCAATTTTGCGATTTAGATAAGATTGAGGATGAGCTTCATTTTGTAGTCGATTGTACGTTATATAGTAATGAGAGAGATTCCCTATATTCTTATATAATAGATAAGTTCCCAAACTTTGGACATTTAAATGAATCAGAAAAATTCATATTTCTTATGAAACTTGACAAACCATGTATCACTAGTTCTATATGCTCGTACATCTATAACTGTCTCAAGAAGCGAGAAGAAGTAGTCGAACAATGTAAATAGTAGTTCACATTAGTATGTATAGTTTAAGTATCCTTTTCTTTGTGTATCCATGACCTGTACTTAGCTTGTTAGAGCACAAACGTACAATAAAGGTCTTTCATTCATTCATTCATTAATTACGATAACGCAAATGCAAGTCTATCAGATGTGTTTATGAGGCATTCTCTGGTGAATAATAAATACATCCAACCCCTTGGAGGTTTCAAAGTTCACTTTGCTACGTACCTCTTGTAGCTTGGTCTTTCTGGAATCCAACTCTTTTAGCTGAACCTTCCTTTGCACCTGTGTGGATAATCGTCAACAACCGTTAGAGGGAAAGGTCAGAAAAAGCTTAAACGTTTATTTTAAACACATTGAAAAGGACACGTTCTTTTAATGAATCTTAGATTCTCTGAAACAGGGCAATTTACTAAATTTTAAAATCTTTTAATTTGCTGAAAGCCATTATCATCGAAAAGGATTTAGAGTCTATATATTATTTGTTTGTTTTCGTAGGCTCCCCGATAGGTTTTGCACGCCGGGTGTTCAATTAGCCCACAACGTAGTGGGGGAATTAAACTCTAGTCATGCAAAACGTTTGCAGGGCGTAAGACAGCTAACGGAGAGCTGGTTGAACTGGGCGGCCCGGAACGTCTTCAGGCCCGAAGAGAGCCTGCCCAAACCACGATAGACTCGACACTACGCTACCGAGCGTGATCAGTATATTTTGTAACTACTTCGTGTTTTCACACCGTGTATTGTGCTCAATTTATAACAAATAAGTCATAAAACCAGTATGATCCAACCAGAAATTTTTGGTTTGGTAAACGTTCCAGCTTACCACAGAAAGATTTTTCCACAAAGCCGGGGCCTGAGCTCGGGAGATGGTCACGATCTTCTCTTTCTGTCCTCCTCCGGATGCGACCTGCTGTTCTACCAGCACGTCATAGTTCTGGTACATGGGGACTGCAAACAGGATAGGATAAGCCAATATCAATGGATTTGAACGTATGGTGAGAGAGAGAAACGGAGAGAGACAGAGACAGAAAGACAGAGGCAGAGAGTAAAGAGAGAAAGAAAGACAGAGAGAAAAAGATAAACAAAGAGAAAGAAAGAAAGAGGGAAACAGAGAGAGGGAAACAGAGAGAGAAAGAAAGAGAAAGAAAGAGAGAGAAAGAGAGAGGGAAAACGCTGCACAGAAGTCGTAGCTATAGGGAGTAAACCCTTGCACAAAAAGGCTGGTGGAGATGGAACACACCTATAAGAACGTCCTAGGAAGCCAAACAGCCGTTCGAAATGGCCCCTGCTACATTGTATAAATGTGATGTGATGTAATATACAATGTTTCATTTACTTTCACTGTTATTATGTAGTTATTATGCAAAACTGACGGAAAATGAAATGCTTCATTACCATTACTCAAAAGGTCCTCATCCGACTGATCCGGCAGTTTCTCCACCGTGTGAAAGAAGCGCAGCTCCTGTATCTTGTCAAGAATCAGGTGCTTGTCGTTCAGGTTGTTCACGTCAAAGTCCCTTTCCAGACGTAACATGGACAGGGACAGCAGTGCCTCCCCGTTTATTTTCTTACTGAAGAACGGTTTCCGCAGGTACTGCAGATGCTCAGGCCAGGACGTCTGTAGGGACAGGAGTAATATCATTCATCCATTAGTAAACTACAACCTCATTAAAGTTCATCTGTGCTGGTAGTAATCATAGTACATTCGTAGGATGTTGAACATTATTCCAACTCATCGAGTATAGAGAGATCAAATTTTCAGCGACCACTGTCGCCTTCATCAGAATAATTGGTTATGTTGTACGAACTGTAAAACGTTTCGAATAGCTTCGAGTGCTGTCAGTGAGAATTACAGCGTGAAACAGAAACCGGTATCTTTGACAATTTTATGTCTGAAATTCGTCAGATAGAAAATAAAGAAAACTGATCGGATTACCTTTATCCATTTCTTGACGTCTTTGCGCGTCCAGTACCTGACCTTCTCGGGATCAGGACCACCTCCAGTGGTACCTGTCGACTGAACGACGATCGGTCTGAACCCCATCGGGCTAATGTCGGCAGACAAGTTAAGCTTCGTTTGCACCTGGAATGTGCGCTGTTAGAGGGAAACAGAAAAAATCAAACACTACAAAATTTATTCAATTCAAGCAATTTTCAACGACCGGCTGCCGTCTTGCTTCATCCGGGCAATTCTGACTGGTTTGCTGCACAGTGAACCAGTAACACGTAGCTTCAGTGCACAGTGAACCAGTAACACCTAGCTTCAGTGCACAGTGAACCAGTTAAACCTAGCTACTGTGCACAGTGAACCAGTAACTTCTAACATCAATTGCACAGTTAACCAGTAACACCTAGCTTCAGTGCAGAGTGAACAAGTTGAACCTAGCTACTGTGCACAGTGAACCAGTAGCATCTGACATCAATGCACAGTTAACCAGTAACACCGAGCTTCAGTGCACAGTGAACCAGTAACATCTAGCTTCAGGGCACAGTGAACCAGTAACACCTAGCTTCAGTGCACAGTGAACCAGTAACACCGAGCTTCAGTGCACAGTAAACCAGTAACACCTAGCTTCAGTGCACAGTGAACCAGTAACATCTAACTTCAGTGCGCAGTGAACCAGTAACATCTAACTTCAGTTCACAGTGAACCAGTAACACCTAGCATCAGGGCACAGTGAACCAGTAACACCTAGCATCAGGGCACAGAGAACTACTAACACCTAGCTTCAGTGCACAGTGAACCACTAACACCTAGCTTCAGTACACAGTGAACAGGTAACACCTACAACAGCGAGCAGATTATTATTGGAATGAGCAGAGCACTTTGGACTAATGTCTCTGGCTGTTTACAGTTTAGAGGTACATATCCTATATTTTGTCAAAAACATCTCTGTTACATAGCGGATCATAATGACCCCCAGCGGGGGTCTTCACGCTTCGTTAAAAATAAAAAAATCTCAATATTTATTCCAAAGATCTTAATATTTTAGACGAAATCTTGAGATCATATGAGGCAATCTTGAGATTTTTCATGACAATCTCAAGATCTTTCAGAGAATCTTCAGATGAAAACGAAAGGTCTCAAGATCTTTCCAAGAGTTTTCAAACTATCTTGAGATTTTTTCATAGCATCTCGAGATTGCTTTATAAATAATGAGATCTTTAAAAAATCTTGATATTTTTAAAAGCATCTCGAGATGCTACGGAAAAATCTCAAGATGGTTTTAAAATAATCTTGGAAGATCTTGAGACCTTTCGTTTTCATCTTAAGATTATCTGAAAGATCTTGAGATTGTCTCATAAGATCTCAAGATTTCGTCTAAAATATTAAGATCTTTGGAATAAATCTTGAGATTTTTCCATTTTTAATTAAGCGTGAAGACCCCCGCTGGGGGTCATTATGATCCGCTATGTAACAGAGATGTTTTTGACAAAATATAGGATATTTACCTCTAAACTGTAAAGAGCCAGAGACATTAGTCCAAAGTGCTCTGCTCATTCCAATAATAATCTGCTCGCTGTTCTACATGTAGCTTCAGTAGTGCACAGTGAACCAGTAACACCTAGCTTCAGTGCACAGTGAACCAGTAACACCTAGCATCAGTGCACAGTCAAAAAAGATCTAACCTAGTCAAAACTGCCATAAAGTGTTGGTAACTAGAGACAGGATTCCTACTGCTTGTGTCAAACAAAAAACAAGAAACGTCCTAAGCTAAATGCATTCAAAGCTAGTAGAAAAATTCTACACTTGACTCACCCCTAATGTCATTGTGGCTCTGGGTTTGGGCAGACCCAAGAGAGGTTTCGGGGGGATTGCAGGGGGTGTCGTCTCTGGCGTGCTATCCTGCTGAAATGAAAACACAAAATTTATACATCCAACTGCCTTACACGTGACGTACCATTTCTGAATGTGAGTAACCTACACACGGGGAAATGGTAATTAAAAAATAATGTTCGAAATTAGCAGATATGTATCAAGTTTGACTCTGGAATGTAATAAAATAAAGCTTATTATAAATATGAAAGGGATAAAAAAGAATGAGTTACCTACCATTTCGGGAATCACAAAGTACATGTGTTCAGTCTCACTCCCGTCCTTAGTACTTCTGGAAATCAAAACATTAAAAAATGATTATACAATTATGTTGATAAACACAATGTTTACAATAAACCTTAAAAGTGTCAAGTTTTCAAACGAAATATATAACCTTATATGAAGTATCCTTGTAGACAATACTGTATCAAATCACAAAACAAAAAAGAAGCTTACTCATCATCCAGGTGACTGTAGTCGTAATCGTGCTTGGGTTTTTCTCCCTGTGGTACAAGTGGCATGTACGTGTCTTCGGCTTGTTTCGCCCCATACGACTGTCCATCTTGATTGTGGTTGCCACTCATCTGGTACTGTGTACTGCCCGTTGCCTCAGGCACTAGGGTAGCAGGAGGGCTTGAAGGAGACAATTTCTTTTCAAGCTCCACGGCCCTAGCTGCAATGCTTCTTGTGGTACTGCCCTCTTCTCCGCCGCTAAGGTGGGGTTTGCGTACGCCAGAGGGACTTGTGGATCTTGGGTCGTTCACGGTGGTTGCCAGCATGTTGGGAGAGGACATCACCTTCTTCAGCATTTTGGCTCGAGCTTTCACACTCCCAGAGGCTTGGTCTTGCTGAGGGCTAATGTTTTCGCTGCACAAGGATTTCTGCCCCGCGTTGTCTTCTGTTACGTTTGTTGGTCCGAAGAGTTTTGTCTGAAGCTGTGAAACGGTGTTGCTTCCTTGCTTGACACTTTGTGATCGCAGCCTTGGCGAAGATGACTCGTGGTCACTGCCAGACGATAGCCTTGGAGAACCAGGTTTGTCAGTGTGTGACAAGCTTTGATCCGGCGTTGCGTTCGGCTGAAAGGTATTGATCAGGTCCAACATGGATGATCTCTTCTTGACAGGCGGAGCCTTCTTTTTCTTGCTTCCGGGAGTTACCTCGGACTTACGACGTTCGCGTTGTCTCGGCAGGTTTTGACCACCGACGGAGCTATCACTTCCAATACGCCTTTGACACTCTGGCGTCACTGGAGCACTAGTTGTTTGGCCAGGGCTCATAAACTTTTCCATCACCTTCGCCTGTTCTAAGACAGACTTCTTTGCCTCTTGCTCTGTCGTTTCCTGTGCTGATTGAAAAGCGGGCGTCTGGGGACTTACGTCGGTTTTAGCTTCAGGTTTGCTCCATTTGAACACGTCTTCATAGACGGGAGACGGTATGCTCTCGTGTTCTCGTGAAAGTGTAAGGCTAGACAATTTTGGACCTTTCTTAGCTTTAACACGAGTGCTTTCTTCATCCTTGTCATTACAGGCATCGTTGCTTACATTGACTGTGCTCTTGGCAGTGGGGTGTTCTGTTGTATCTTTAGGCTGCGGTGGAGGAGGCGGTGCCACATTGGGTCTGGTCAGTAACAGCGATTTTCTGTTTGCAGTGGCATGCTTACCGCCTTGTTGGGGTGTCGTTGTTTCCTTTTCCTCTTCTAGTTTTGGTCCTGCCTTCCCTTGTGCTGGTTTTGGTGTTGCCTCCTGTTGTGGTGGTTTTGATACTGACTCCTCTTGCGGTGGCTTCTGTGTTGCCTTCTCATCTGATTTAGGCGTGTACTTCGGTGAACAAGGAGGGCTCTCGAACATTCCTATCAGACCAGACAATCTCTTCTTCAGTGGTGCTGGTTTCTTTTCTTTCGGCTTATCATCTTCTGACGTTTCCTTACTTTTATCCACGAATTCTTTCAGCTGCTTATATTCTTTCGATGTGACGTTAAGGCTACGGTTCCGATTGCCCGACTGTGGTGGGTCACTTGGTGGGATGTCAAATGACTTTGATCCTGAAAAGGGACGAAACGTTTCAGAAGTGAATCCAAGTATGGTATATATAGAGTCTACAGTATTAGAAAGAAAACAAATCTATTTTTCACTGTATAAATACAAACACCTCACAATACTTTGTATATCGTTTGTAATGTTATACTGCACTGCAGTAGCATTTGTTGATAGTATGGTTAGCATAATGGGTTGTTTACTAATTTCTAATATATTTTTCTCCAAAAAAAGGACCAAGTCACATTCTCTTTTTACATTTTAGTGAACTTCCTCCATATTTTAAGTAGTTTGAGATAACATTTCATGCAGCCTAGTTGCCATTGTCGACTCTTAAAAAGTTTACGACACATAGTTACAATTACAAATTTATCATGATTTTTAATACAATATTACATATAACTTTGTCATTTAATGATGATATGATATTCTACATAAAAATATATTCAGTGCTGATGTAATGTTCTTCGTAAAAAATTATTTATATTTATCAAATCAAATTCAACAGATTTTAAGAGACTCGATGCTATAGATAGATTTGAACATATATAAGACTGATTTGTTAGGAAAAAATACACTGAGTGTCATGATTAGCTTCGCTAGATTGTAACATAATACTAAATGTCTATGCTAGGCCTTATTGTTTTAGTAATTAAGTTGTTAATTTATTAATTATTGATTAGGTTATACCTCTATTTTGTGTTTTAACACAATAATACTTCTTGGCATACATTGTTCCTTGTGAAATTTTAGTGTAAAGGTCTTTTATAACGCACAAACTAACATGTACTGACGAAATATGCTAGATTTAATTGTTTGATCGTTTATTTCTTATTGAGAAGCTCAAATCGGTCTGCAGGCCGCTTTTCACTGAGGTCATGAGGGAAGAGGTCAGGGTCAGACCACATATTTAACGTACACTGATACAGTTTATATAATTTTAAGTCCTAATAAGCTAGCAAATATTTTTACACATACATGGTGCGAAGAACATGCATACAGAAACGGTACGAAATGGATACCCTTGTTTTTATAGAATAAAAGAGACGTTATAGTTCTTTTAATGAAGGTCAAATTGTGACAGACACTGTATCTACAGTGCCAACACAGCCCCAGGCTACCTGCATTCTTTTACAATGATCAGACTGGTGTCTACGTTTTGGGCTGTTACAAAATCTTTTCATGGGGGTGGGAGGGGGTGATTCAGTATCATTTCTTACTGCTTGAATCTTAACTGGTTATTTCTTCATACACTTTTCGGTTGAATTGATTTTTTTTTAGTTTTAAATTCTAGATTACAAGAAGCATGCATCATATTAGCCTATTTCAAAATGGAATCGTCTTCATAATATCTGAGTACGTAAACATGCCCCGCGGGAATATATTAAGGCAGTGAAGCATGGCGTGGGAACTATTGTTGTACAGAAATCTGCTGACTACGACGCCGGTTGGTTTATATATTAACACAGCAAAAGTACAGCGACTTTCGTAAGGTCTACTGCACTACTACAACAACTACTACTACTACTTAGTCTACTACTACTACTACTATTACTACTACTACTACTACTACTACTACTACTATTACTACTACTACTACTACTTAGTCGTCTACTACTACTACTACTACTACTACTACTACTACTAGCGCTACTACTACTACTACTACTACTACTACTACTACTACTACTACTACTACTACTACTGCATATGTACTACTACCATTACAACCACTACACTACCCTAAACATACGAATGAATTAACTACGTACACGTACATGAACTAAGCAACATGTAATTTAATTGTTGATTTAGACGTACAAATTATACTACTAGCTCTTAGGTCTAAACATCTTTTTTATATATTTACACACAGTGGGGATTATATCTTCTTCTAGAGTGTAATTAAATTTTCCGTCTCGTAAACGGCCGTTGCTTTTTTGCTGAAGGGTCAATGACATAACCGTGCGTAGGATGAGTTTTGAGGTGCAAAACATATAAAACTAATAAAAAGCAACAGTTTAATTAAACATGTAAGCATCGTAAAAGTACTAAAGACATGAGTGAACAAAAACAGAGCACAAGCTTAATTGGATTCATACCCGGCTGAAAAGGCTAATTTAACTTAAAGCCCTAATCCTCTACGCTAAGAAGTTTGCAGTTCTACGATATGGCATCGTGACAACGACCATTTACGAGACGGAAATTAGCGTCGTGTATTCCCCGCAGTCCGTCGTACTCAACCCTTTTACACACACACAAACGATGTCGTACGACACGCGTCGCGCTTTGGTCGTCGTAAGGCAGAAAATATTTTTGCCACGTGTGAATTGGGCCACCAGGTTGACACTTGGATAAATTATGCATGGCAGTTGGGGGCTTTTGATCAGGTATATTAGGTAGAAAAAGTATGCAAAAGAAAGACTAGAACACAACATTACCACGTGTCAAAAGACGAGACTTTGGTTTTTCCTTCTCCCGTATGATGGGTTGTACCACGCAGGTTGGACTCTTTTCAAGGCCTCTGCAACAGAAATTCAAAAGAACATTAATTTTTAATGGTCTAGAGTAGAGAATATTCCATCTATTTTTCTTTTGCGTCTTGGTCTAAAGTATGTAAAGCCCCAGTCGCTACAAAAAAGTCGGGTATGGCCTCCCGAATACATTAACTCCTTCCAACCACGGTTTGGAGTAGGTCGGGAGCAAGGTCGGTTGTGGTTTTTGGCGAGGTCGGGTTACTGTCGGGATGCTTCAAAATGTATTAAACATTTGGGGAGGTTCAGCCATGGTTGGCTGGTAGTTGGCTGGAGTTCGGGAGTAGGTCAGTGGTAGTCGGCACTCGAATTTGACTCAAATTGAATTAAATTTGGATTCGATTGGTACAAAAATGAATGAATGGTACGAAAAGGTAGACATGGCATAAATCTGTTCAGATTCCTCCAGAACTTTAAAATTGTTGTTTGGCAGTCGAAGGAAGGTTCTGAATGTGTGACATGGGCTAAATGTTAAACACCAGTTGACAACAGAGGTTCGTATGGCCTCAAGGAACAAGTGAAAGGACTGTGAGAAGGTCAAAATCCAGTTGACCCATAATTGGAGTTGTCTGTTTCTTCTTCTTCTTCTTCTTCAATACTCTCTAACCACCCCTGCTGGGGTATCACTGAGAGGGGAGGGGGGTGCGACGGACTATGGCTGCGCGGCCAGAAGCCCGGCCTTGAAGGCCTCCACTGTCTGGGCTTTTACTAGCTGGCCCGGCAACTTGTTCCACTCATTTATCGTTCTTGGAAAAAAAGAAAATCTAAAACAGTCTGTTTTGGCAGGTATTGCTTGAAATTTATATTCATGACTTCATCTGGTACGCCTATGGGCAGGTTTGAGGTATTGTTCCATTTGAATAATAATATGTTTCTTGACGTATCAAACCGTGTGCTATTATTAGACGAGTATCTCTCATGAACACGTTCGAAACACTAGTGGAAGTGGGGAGGGGTGTCTTTAGATTGAGCTTTTTGCATTCAAATACACATGTCTTAGAGAACACATGTTAGAGAATAGTTAACCTTTATTGTTACATCATACATGTACCCTGTACGTAAGTTGACGTTATCCACACATGTATTTAGCTTTGTTAAATATTTAGTTAAGTTGTAGAGGACCATACAAAAGTCTCTGTACTTTTTTGTTGTGTCAATAAAGAATCTCTCTGATATCTACAAGTAATCTCTCACAAAGAAGTAGAATGGAGACCGGTTGTTAGTTCTTGTCTCTTATTGTGCAACTAAAAACTGTCCTTCCCCCAGGCAAAAAGTCAGACACAGGTGAGGCAAAGGCTCGACAAGGAAGTAACTGTCAAAATACTCTATTTATGAGGATGATGAGTAATCTAGGGATTTTCCATCTTGCCATCTGCTTCTTTGTGACGCACATAAACAGATGGCTGTTTTTCTAAGAATTTAACACCTTAGATTTAAAGTATTTTAGACTGTAGTGATGGTATTGTTTTTTTCACCATTGTGTGTCAACGAATTACCTTAAAGCTGGTAACTCATGCAGTGTTCTCTACATTTTTGTCTAGATCATCAGCTTAAATTCATAATAATTCAGACTTAGGAATTCTCGTGTATTTGGTACATATTGTGCCCAAGCATTTTTCTTAGTTGGCGGTAGATTCGAATTCAGTGTTCTCTACAAACTTACCGCTTTCCACGATGAAATAACACCCAGGGCCTAGACCATGAGTCAAAATAGGCAACATAACTGACTTATTCCAGAACAGACGACTCTGTCAATACTGTAAAATGAATAGAATAGAAGATGAACAACACTTTATTTTAGACTGTACTGTATATTCTAATGAAAGATCTGTCCTTTTTAATTATATCAAAGAGAAGTTCCCATACTTTGAACACCTAAGCGCAAATGATAAATTTATATTTTTGATGCGTCTAGACAAACCCTGTATCACAAACATGATCTGTTCCCACATTTTCCACTGTACAAAAAAGCGAGAAGAAGTTGACCTCTCTATATTACTTCACTGACTAGAACACTTTGTATTAGCTTAGTATAGTTCCCTTGTATGTTCCTTATGTATGTATGTCTAAGTCAAGTAGTGCATCTTTTGTCTCCAATTTCCTATTTACGTTTGTTATGTGTCTGTTATATGTTGACCTGTACCTAGCCCGTCGTGGCATGAATGTACAATAAAGGTATTTCATTCATTCATTCATTGATTCATTCATTGAGTTTGAAAGCACGAGGCTGGAAAATTTAGTGCGTTAGTAACATTTTTAAAAATAAGAGAGAGGGGGCGAATGAATGTTCAAAGGATTTCGCAAGTTCTTTTTCAAATCAGTGCAATACCAAGACTAGCAACGTGTTTTCAATCACAATAGACTTATTTATCGAAAACTGGACGGAGAGTCATCCGACCACTATAGGTAGGAGACATTGTGAACTAAACCTCCTGTTATAGAACCAGACTTAGGCCCCATTTTACACGAATCAATCAGGTCTTTATTCGAAAAACCGCCGCCATGTTGAGCCTAGGGGCTAAACACGTACCCAGCACCAGCAGGAAACAAATTATGTGGAAAACAACAAACCTTGTTTTCATGAATCTATTTTTCTCTTTATATTTCGTACAGATCTTCACAGAAATGCTACCTTAGTACGAAATCTGAAACATTACTTGATGAGAACAACTATTGAAAATACCAGAAAGCGATTCGGACGTTTATACTCATTTGGCCTTGAACGTTTAGTCTCTTTGCTACTAGATTTGGGTCTTATGCTAAGTTCTTTCTACTTTGAATAGCGCTGGCACATTTCAGTGGCAGATTGAAGGTGACACAATACGAAATAAAAAAAACAACAACAACATGGACGTCGAAATGAAGTAAGAGTTTCTGTAAATGCTCACTTGTCGTTGACCTGTGGCGACCCCACAGATACAGCAGCCTGTGCAGCCTTTAGTGAGCTGATGCCCCCCTCCAAGGCTCTCTGTTGTCCCTTGGAAAGTTGCAGCTCGCCGATGTCCTCGGGAGTCATGTTGCTGAGACTCTTGACCGAGTTGAACTCCTGGCCCTCCAGCTTGGCCACAGTCTGCTCGCTCAGGTCATTTTCACGAGCAAAAACACCCAAGTCGAACGAACTCCGAGCCATGATTCTCAATCTTGTTTAGTACAAGATTTCGTGTTGTAAATGTCGTCTCCCAAGTAGCCAGCAAGGTCTCAAACAAGCTCAGAAATTAAATACGTTTGTGTACAGCATGAGGTTGTTTCCTGTATATGAGCGAACTGCGAACTACGACTTATCTTGAGCTGAAGCCCTTTATGTTGTTGGGTAGGTTGAAATGAACTAATTGTATGACATCATGCAAGCTTTGTGACGTGCGCCCTCTATGAGAACGCAATTTGAGGCCAATAGGACGGTGTGAATTGTCTTGTATTCGTTCACATTTAAAAAAATTCAGCTGACTTACAACTTTGAAACAGCAAAATAAAGAGAACAACAAAGAACAATTTTTATCGTATTTTCCTACTTTAACTTATAAAACAGGACTGTGATGACAGAATATTGATCAACATTTATTACATATACTTATCGCAGGCATCAATGTAAATAATCATGAATGGATATAGAGCTAATATTTCGTTGATTGTCATAATATTTGTTTAGCACGTTTATCTTCACCCAAAACTAACATTGAGACAACAATACGCGTAAGACGATAAACAGCAAGTGTTTTAAAACGGCCTCACCAGTTGGACCGGCAGTCGGAAGCGGCGACATGGAATAATTATTGTGCCTGTGGCTTGGGTTCATTCAAATCTAGCCAAGTGGACTCTGGCTGATATATAGACTTGTTCAATTGTCTAGTAGTTAACAGTAGACAGTATTTTACATGGTCATAGTTTACACGACTGATAGATACAAGAGGCTAGTCGAAGCATCGGTATATCAATTAACGATTTTATTAACTATAGTAACATTTATCTTAAAGTTAGGTGTAACAGAAGCGAATACTGTAATTCACTTTATGTTCACGGTAGCAAAAGCTCACGGTCTGAGAAAAATGGACATGTTCACGGAACTACATATATTCTCATGTGCAGGAAAAAGAAAGTCCATGAATTATTTGTTAGCTGTAATGATAAGTTCACAGTACAGAAGTGACATTGAAAACAGTGAACATAACAGTACAGTGAAAAAAATCAGGAATTACAGTAATTTCGAGTGCCATGTCCTAAGGACACGAATTCAAATCTTGTCTAACTGGATAGTTTAAATAATTTAATAATTACTCATCATTTTGCCTGTGGCCATCATTGATTCATTGGAAAAAAAATGGCGATGTGAAATCTCAGTTATATTTACACAAAACATAGAAGATTCCGATTGAACTCTCCCAGAGCGGGGGCTCTATCCTGACATATACGTGTATCAGTACATGTACATGTACAAAGGAAACTCTCCTCATTTATGTACAGCAGATTTTGCCAAACCTACAGTTTAGAGCAACCCTGTACGTGGCAGTTATCTTGTGGTTGCGCTACTTGTCTGGCCACAAGACCGCGCTAACTGTGATATCACTACTGGCTATATAACTGTCGTTATTTGTTGTCACGAATTAATAATCGTCACAATGTTAATAAGTTGACTTGCCTTGTAGTTCTAAGTTTATTCATTAGTTTCTCAAATTGTATTATGTCATTTGATTACTTTTTGTATTGTCTTGTCTTTTGTATTGTATTGATAAAACTTGATAAATAAATAAATAAATAAACATGCCTCTGTATCAGTATCTGTATCAGTATGACCGCGCCCTTCGGCGTAACACATGTACACCAGCCTCTGTAAGCATATATAACCGCCCTTCGGCGTAACATACCAGCTGCACAGGCACGCGGCGCGGCGGCAGCTGGCTACACTACACCGAACGGCTTGTTTCACCTAACCCTTGAACATCTAACTTTAAACATTATTTAAAGCTATCTAATGCTAATTCCCCCACTGTACTTAGCAGCAAATTCCACTCTGCGATATAGTTCTAGGAAAGTTTTTGAACACCTCAATCTTTGGTACTAGAAGGCATGACTTATCATAATCATATCATGTCATATGGGGACATTATTGATTAATTATTCTCTGCAGTGATATCATAGGCTTCATGATTCAAAGGACGAACATCAGAGCTGACTAATTTAGTACGGTCACATAACAAGTACCAACATTCTTTACCAAGCAGTGGTTGGTGTTAGTACAGGAATTTTCGCTTTTTTTATTCATTCATTCATTCATTCATTCATTCATTCATTCATTCATTCATTCATTCATTCATTCATTCATTCATTTCATTTCTTTCCTTCCTTTCCTTCCTTTATTCCTCCACTTTAGGAGAGCCATATGCATTAAAATACAATAAATACAATAAAAAAGACATTATACCAAATAAAATGATAGTTTTTCTAACACAGACAAATGATTAAATAAAAGTAATGGATATCGCCTATTCTATAGATAGTGTTCTGTCTATTTCTATCACATCTTTCTTGAGCATTTCTGCTCTCTACAATTCCTGAGTGCATTCTTTCTTTTTTTTTCTTGGTTTTTCTATGGTTGGGCGAAAGATCGGCGGTGTTTTTTGAGCTATGTATGACAGGGGCATAGATACTGAGGTCCTAATATTGTCAGCTAAGACACTAGGTTTCACAGCAACGTAAAACATAACGTTGGAATTTGCATATATTGGTAAACAACCCCACCAGGACGATAAGATAACGGTTACCGCGATTATTTGTGAGGCCGTGCACAGTATTCAACTCAGAACCCGAAAAAAGTAGGGAACCTTCCCGGTGTGGATCAAACCTTACAGTCCTTACGTACATGTATGGTCCTTACGTACATGTGGCCAGCACGTCGGCAGAACGTACTGCGCCTGCGCAGAACCCCGTATTTTCGCGTTTTTCGTTGGGTTTTTGGTCAACGTTGCATCAGAATTTTGCCTGTTGCAGAGGATATTTTTTCTGACACAACATTTGGAAACTACTGTCGAAATGCTAACCTTATATGAGCGAATACAAACTTATATGAGACATTCTGCCGAACTGCTATATGTACAATACATCATGGGTTTCGCGCAGGTGCAGTACGTTCTGCCGACGTGCTCATGTGGCTCAAGATTAAAGCCCCAATAATTGTAAGCTTCTCACAATTCAGCCATTTTTAATGTAACAGTAGTAAGTTGAATCAATCATATTCCATATCATACTGATTTCTGTGAGGTAAGAATGTAATTGTCACTGAGAGATAACGATTGCTTGTTTTGCATCATAGCATAGGTTAACGTTATGGTTCTAGGGTTTTATGGGTGGTACCCAAAACATAAGAGACGGGATGCCTCACGTAGCTAGTTTAAGTGTCTTTGCTCCAAGTATGAAATAATGACGAAAATGTGCTAATATAAGAAATGGCAGTAAATGTCAGTATCATACAGATTTTATCACCCACAATGTTTTTCCACCCTGGAATTGTATTAGTTGCCTTTAAACACCTTCCCGTGACCCCAGATTAGACCAGACATCTGGTCCATATCACACAGTGGGTGGGTGGTGTCTGTGAATAGTTTCCTCAGGTTGGTAAGACACTGAGTAAAGAGACTATTTTTACACAACTAAGTCATTTCTTCATCCCACGTTTCGGTGACCGTCTGTCACCTTCCTCAGGGCAATTCTGACTGGTTCACATTGCATTGCAGCACAGGTGTGGCTGCTATAGATGCTTTTCCAAACGTACAAAGTCAGAATTGCCCTGACTCCTGAGGAAGGTGACAGACGGTCACCGAAACGTCGGCTGAATGAAAGACTTGGTGGTGTAAAAAGAGTCTCTTTACTGAGTGGGTGGTGTGTTTTAAGCGTACATTTTAACAGTTCGGCGTAGATTTGTTGACGCCTGTTCAGCAAATAGAAGTTCCTGTTCTGCTAAATTATCTGCGGTATTGTTGTTACCTTTACACTTGGGGAGGTGCATCGTGTCACAAGTTCGTGTACTCCTCTTAGTCGACATTTGTTTTGTCTGACCGAAAAATTGTATTAAACCGATGCATATTGAAAAAAAAAGAGTGAAAAGTGAAAAATAATATTGGTAAAGGTTAAGAGTGAGAGATGCATACATATTATTATTGCAGTAAAAAGTATCATTTTGCATATTTGCGGATTTTGCATATCCGTAAATGTGATCGACACTCATGTTGGTGTAATGAGGAGATATCATCTGGATTTCTGACCAAACTATTTTCCTGCCAAGAGTGTAAAAAAGAAGACTGACAAGAAAGATCAATGAAAACCCATTGCGTCATTGTCTTAATTATCTACATGTACCAGTAAACAAAATGACTACCTTTTGAAATCGTTTGAAGTCATGAGTCTATCCCCACTAGTATGTAAATCCCATAGGCTACCCTCACATGTGTCATCTATGCCCACGCCCAAGGTGAGTGACATGTTTTTCGTTGGCGTTTCCTTGTATGACCTCATGTTATTCTTTTTATTTGTTACTCGTACCTTAGTTACGTATACCAGTGTTTATACCTGTATCTATAGCCAGTGCAACTACCCTTCGGTGTAACACATTTACATGGGCTTAGAAGGCACGTGGTGTTACTACAGGTGGTAGTGTTATCTTGACAGACCTTTGATACCTGAACTTTGCACAACTGCAACTGTCCTGAATAGTTTATCAGTCACCGAGTTGACCCGACACAAGAAAGCAGTATTGCAGGTACGACTTTTATATTTGCCTGAATTTTCAGATGAAACCTGTAAAATATATCGCCATTTAGTAAATTAAATACTGAGTTAGTGTTACTGTGTGATCTTGTAGTCACATTTTAGCTTGAGTTGATACGATCAATGTCCTTGAAGTCACAAGAATTTTCTTACCTCCTCGGAGCTATCAAAATCATCTTTTTTTGAAAATGTAGCCTTAGATTGTCATACATATAGTGTTATTATAGGCCGTTTTATAGCCTAGTAGGCTCCGAGTTGTGCCCGTGAATCAAGGTCTAACTGAGGGAGGCTAGGGTATATTTTCCTCGGGGACATGTTGACCCTGGAGCCGAGGAGCTGGCCTGTGTAGTCCCTTCAAATGGTCTGGCTAGGGTTTTTCCTTACTCTCGCTTCCTTGTAAGAAAACACCACACAAATGAGGGGCAACATTCAATCAATCTTCATAACCTAGCGATGTGTATTTATAGTTAAAACACACAGTACACGTTCTACGACTCCCAAGCCTGATGTACAAGACAAGCACATTATGTTTGTGAGATCTTAGAATAGATATTGTAGTGTGCATTGACACGACAAGTGATATCAGGCCAGCTTACTGTCACTACCCGTCATCCATTGCCATACATCTAACCCTTGACCCCTCTCAATGCAATGTTGTCAAAACAAACACCCCCCCCCACCCTAACCGGTTTTCTGTCCTCAATGACGTTGTTTCTGTGGCAGCCATAATTGTTTTAGAGCCGGGCTCACGACGTCATTGTTTCATAGAAATCTGAACACCAAGTTCTGTTTTCACATCAGTTTAAACTTGACAGTTCTAAACTCGGAGAACCCGAACAAAAATCAGCATGTAGAAAACTATCACCGACGTGTGCAGGACACTTATCTCCTAGGGGGCAGAATACACAACGTCATTCCAAATACTCAGGTGAGAAAAGCAGCTAAAAACTTGTCACGTACAATGGCTATGTTTGATTTAGTCTACATAAAGAACATCACGTTTAGCAGAAAAAGGAACGGCAGGGAAAAGAAGGTTGTTAAACAGAAGTATTGGGGTGGAATAACAAAGTTATTAGTTGTCTGACAGAATGTGTACATTGTAGATGTACACATTCTGTCTTGTACACGTGTACACATCTACAATGTACACATTCTGTCCATTGTAGATGTACAACAATGAAAAGAATGTGACAGGGGGAGGGGGGCGAAAAAGCGGAAGTCGCCCTTGACACGTATAGTGACACGTCTTTTGCAGTGGCTATACACACGAGAAAATTGAGCAAATTAAACCACCTGTAGACTGTTTGCCTGTTAACTCGTGGACATTCTTGCCAAATGGAGCGAGGAAACTAAGTCCGGATACACTTGACTTGGAAAACACCATATTTTTCATGCATGTCTGTAAATAGGATGTTAGAAGGTGTAGTACAAATGTACTACACTCGCAATGGACAGTGAAATGTAGCTACACGTGCATGAGATCATTTTATTGTTACCATCATTGTCATGCTGTATTAAGCCCTAATCATACATAGTGGTGCGATCGGCCTCTCGAACACCACCGAACTACCTCTAACCATAAGCTTCGGTCCCAATTGCCCCGATGCCCGTCCGGGGACTACCCGGCAGGGCCCCTTTATCCAATTGTGACCGAAGCAATAGCCGGGAATACTCAAGTAGGTCGTGAACATGGTTGGTAAGGTTGGCTTCTGTTTCTCTCTGCCATTCGAATGTTGCGAAATATTTAAAACATTGAACAGGAGGTTAGGCTAAGTTTGGGGATTGGTTGCCCGGTGGTTGGGAGTAGCTCAAGAGTGGTCGGGACGTTGTTGGCAGTCAAATGTGACTCATATTTGATTAGATTCGTATCGAAAGGTAGGCGAGGCCCAAATCTAGTCAGACTGCTCCCAACCTACCAGCTATCCCAGGTTAGTAGTAGCTTGGTGGTTCTGAACGTGTGTACGCAGAACGCATGACTAGTTTCACTTCCCTCTTTTCCTTTTAACGTTACATGACCCATGTTCCTCTTTCCTGTATTATTGATACATAACGTAAATGAACAGTTTCTTTCAAGTTCCTCTCCGAAGGCTATTTGCAAATACTACTGACAAAAGAACAGTAAAACAGAGTACAAAATGAACAGAAAATCTACTTCATCATCATCATCAATCATCCTACGAAGAGGTGGAGCATACAAAGTTAGATAAAATCTATTTATTAAAATCTAATTGTCCGAAACTATATGTCTGAAGGGTTCGACTTCTGTTTTTTCAAGGAAGAAGTAATGTTTCTTTTGTAAAATGTGTGGATTTTTGGTAGTTAAAAGAAGAAGTGTTTTGTTTCATTACAGTGAGGAACTAACAGGTGCCAGATGAAAGAGAAGGGTGACGTTGCTGGCACAAGGTCCAGGGCTCCGCGTTCGCGTAAGTTGGCTTTTCTTAGAGAATTACTAGACTTTAATTAGGCAATTAGGTTATTCTCTAATAACTACTTTAGTAGTAGATATCAATTTGTGCAAACGTACGTTTGTAGCTTTGGCCATTATGCACATGAAAACCATACTTTTATTTCAGTTACTTGTACCAAAGTGCTATATTATAACTTTAAAGATAATTACATTTGGGGCAATAAAATATGATGACGTCATCCATATGGTCCATAAAATCATATTCATAACCCTTTTGTACCCAGGTATCAATATTCAGTACAACTACAATTCTTTCTGAATTTCTTGGTGAGAAAACGATGGAAAGTTAAAATGACATATTAGCCAGGGATGACATGTACACCTTTTTTTTTCATGTGCATTTCCCTTCGACTTTTCCGAGAATATCTCACTGAAATATATCATATATATTGTGCATGTTGTCAAGATGGAGAGGAGAGAGAATGGTGATTGAATTCGAGTTATGTTATGATTTCTTAGGTCGAGAAAAATGTTAGTAATACGTGTTCTGATTTCCCGACCGACCCTATCAAAATCCAGCCGGCGTTTTATGTATCATCCATACGTCATATTATGATGATGATGAAATCATGGGTTCAATGTTGCACAAAAACACACAAGAAGCATTCATTTCTTAGCCTCACGACTGAATTTCATACTCCTTAACAGATTTCTCAACAACAGAATCCTTGGTTTCCTTAAAATCCCTTTAAAAGTACAATTAAGACTCGACAACAGTTCAAATTTAAAACTAAGTAGCCCATTCTGCACATCAGGAAGGATTTATGTTTTCGTATTTCTTAAAAGTAAGATGAAAGACCTTGGTTGTACTTTAATATGCTCTTACAAGCTAAGTACAGGTCATGTGTATAAAGCACTGTACAACATATATATGTGTACTTTTATACCCACTGGTTCGACTACGCAGTTTTAAAAATCGCGCTTAAGTAGTTTTTGCTAACATGAACATCCAGCACATGGTCCACGGACGACAAAACCAGACTTTCCACCGCCACCTCCCCCCAGAGGACCATCATTGAAACACCAGGACAGTGTGGATAGCTCTGGCATGACTTCAACTGACAAACATGTGGGAGGCAGTGAGGAGCCCACTGAGCCTTCTATGTACCCAAGGCTAGACAAAACAGGACGTTCAGTACCAAACATGTACTCGAGCCAGATACCGGCTTTACGCTCTAGTGGGTGAGTGGAATTGGACAGGTGAACTCTGAGAGTATGCATGCTGGGGAGTGGTCCTCAAAAGATTATAACAACGCGGGCTCAGATTTAGCCAAATAGGAAGAACAAATAGCGACGGTCCGTTTGGCAGCAGTAGAGTTCATACGCCCACGCTTTTCAACCGAAGGGGAAATCAAACCCTAACGGTGGGCTCACTCCCCTGGCCTATCCTAACCCGTTAGAATTAGCAATGCCTGGTGGAGGACAGCCGAAAAAGCTACAGGTGCAAAGACTCGAAGTCAAAAGAAACTAAATGGGTTTAAACTTTTTGTTTGCAAAAATACCGCATAAAAGAGCACAGACTTGCAAGAATTTGGCATGCTGGCTTGGTGACATTTTCTTTGGTGAAGGTGGTGTGGTCTAAGGTTGATGTCACCTCAGACAACGGACCATTCCCACAATGCATAGCGGTTTCCGGAAGTACTATTTTAATTTTAGTTTGCATCATGGCGGCACTAAAGCTAGATAGGAGTGTTGATGTGGTCCAAGTCTAACCTTTTCGTTCTCGTACATAAGAAATGCGCACTCTTAAACCGACTATCTTTCAGAGACACTTCCAGTGGACACTCTTTCACATCGCAACCACAAAAAGCAGAGGTAGATCGGGCATTTCACGAATCAGACGAGTCCAGAACACACCGCACCCTCCCTGCACGACTGGATAGAAGGGCAGGCGAAACAGAGGACCAGATCCGGCCCCTTCCAATACCGGGTTACGTACGGAGGGAAAAGTGAGCTGCATCCCTTTTTACTGTGCTGCTAGTTAGCCTGTACCAGGCTCAAGACGTGACTGAAACTTTACATAATTTCCTTGTCGTAAAAAAGTTGTTTGATTGGAAAATAGCTTACACTTATGCCCATACTGTGAAAATTAAGATAAAATTAGCACTCATCTCTTTGGACACTGCTCTGATTTAGAAACTAAAAACTGGTTATAATGAGCATATGCGCTACACAATGTTATTTCTTTATTCTAAGAATATTTTGGTATTCTACAAAAATGTACGAATTTCAGAATACGGTACTCCAAATTAGTTTCTTAAGAAGGACTGATGGCAGAACTGGGTGTCTTCTAGCCAAAGACGCCTAATGACCTACTGCGTGATTTTTTATCATTTATTATTTACAATGAAGTCACTACAGTTACAATTTGGATAACTTGATCATGACGCGTTCCAATGTGTCCTACAGATTTCCTGCAACCAGAGTCAAGTCACTGGACGTGAGTACATTTTTTAATGAAATGATCGTTTTGAAACATATGTGAATTGCATATATAAGTCTATTAGGAGGCCTCATTTCCAGTAGATTATTGAGTAACCAAAAATGGATTTGTGTAACCCTTGAATTTGTAATAGGCACATGATTCATGGTATAGACGTATAAAGTTTAACACAAGAAAAACGAAACAAACAAACAAGCAAACAAACGTTCACTTATTAGTCGATATCTCAAATTCTGGTTGTGCTTCGGTCGAATTCTCTGATTGCAATGTGTGTGTGTGTGTGTGTGTGTGTGTGTGTGTGTGCGTGTGTGTGTGCACGTGTGTGAATGTGTATCTGTGTGTGCGTTGTAAAAATGTATCAGGAGGTAGCCTATATCAGGCTTCAGAAGTGACTTGAAAGAAAGGAAATTCGGTAAATAGATGGATAACTATACTTCTTTATAATTAGTGGACCAACTACCATCAGGCTGGTTATTTGTCCTATTTGGTCAATTTCCACAATTTCATGAAGCTTCTGAGGCCTGGTAGAGGCTATCAAATGAGTGTATGGATAATTGTATACTTATTAGTTTATAGGAAAAAGGTTGACCAATGCAACAGACTTAAGAAAGGGAGAATTAGAATTATGGTTGATGGTCAGAAAGGCGGCGAGAACTCTCCCCAATAATAACATGTAGTTATGTCAACAAGAAAATTAGTAGCCAATCAGATACCATATTATATAAAAAAAAAGTATGGTTTGTTTTAACGTGTTTTATCATCATTTCCTTTTATGAAATTTTAGGAAGCCGTTTTTGAGCATCAACGTAAGACCAAGCCACCTCCTTTACCTTCAAAGAAGAGGAGAAGTGCTCCAAACATCTTCCAGCAGGTAAATATTTAAATGATCTACATGGGCTAAATTCAGTAGTTATGCTCGATGTAAGATATAATAATCTGTATTGATTATGAACAAAGGAGAAGTGTACGTAACAGCGTATTCATAAAATGAAATAGTGCCTTCTTCAGAATGTTTACTTGTCGTTACATCCCCCTTCTACTTTCTAGCTTCCCCACATGTCAGAAGCGCCGCCTGGCAAGAAAGTCCCGCACGGCACCAGGAAGAAAAGCCTCCCGACTCTAACGCTCCCAACGTTCAAGACGTTGCGACAGATTAGTGAAACGTCATCAATGGGTGAGCCGGAAGAACCTGACCAGGCCTTGGTTCGTCATTGGACCAGGAAAGACGTCAAGGCATGGATAAAGGTATGTAGCATCATGTAAATTGTCGAACAATCAAGTCTCAGTTCCTGACAAGAGTCCACGCAATACGTAGCGGACCAATGTGCAAAAAACGATGTAGTGGCGCACAAATTTTCCAATCATGTGCCTCGAAAAAATATATATATTAGTGCACATTCACAAAAGACGGAAAATGTCAATCAAGGTAGGGGTGCTTTTTAAAGATATTGTATACATCCTATGAAAACTGCAACGGCGTTAACATCACCACTCACATACTAGCAGACGACATGTAAAACCACACAGATCCAGCAAAGGCATTGTGAGTTACAGCTACGAACCGGCGGTGTCAAGCCATAGACATGATCCTGCCAGATACATGACTCAGACACTACTTGGGGGTTTCCAATATACCTGAGACAAGTGGTGGGAGAGGTTTAGTCGTGATGTGGGAGACTAAACCTAACCTTACCTAACCACAATCGTAAGTGTAACCCTAGCCGTCGACAACAATGATCTCAACTTTAGCCCTAAACCTAACTCTAATACCAACCCTAACCCTAGCCCTAAACACCTGACCTCTCACGTATGTGGCAGTTCAAGGATTTGGCTCAACACCGGGCATGTTTAATATCAATACTCTCTCTGGGGTCACTGACCTACAGAACGGAGTATCTTGTGGCTAACACGTAGTAGCTACTTGGAATACTCCGTAAATAATTTCATCAGGTTGGTAAACGAATGAATAGCAACGTTCTTTGATCACAACCATTTATTTTTCACCAGCCGACGTTTCGATGACCGTCTGCCATTTTCATCAGGGCAATTCTGACTGGTTTACTGTGCACTGACGCTAGATGTTACTTGGTGCATAGTGCACTAAATGTGTTACATAGGTGTTACATAGTTACAACTGTACTGTGAACTATGTAACACCTTTAGTGCACTATGCACCAAGTAACATCTAGCTTCAGTGCACAGTAAACCAGTCAGAAATTGCCCTGATGAAGATGGCAGACGGTCATCGAAACGTCGGCTAGTGAAAAATAAATGGTTGTGATCAAAGAACTCTGCTATTCATTTACTTGGAATACTTTTTATAGATTTGACTGTTGTCCCCACACAGACGTCTTGGCCCAAACATCTCCAGACATACAAGAAGAAGTTCTACAGTAAGAAGATTAACGGAGAAGCACTGCTGACTCTGACGGAGGAAAGGCTAACAGATGAGCTGAAGGTCCAGCAGCCTGAAGACAGAAGCGCCATCATGAACCTGGTGAAGACACTGAGAACTGCAGGATCCAAGGAGAGACTTGTGGATGAACAAGACGAGGAGATGTTCCATTCTGGTGAGAGCAAAATATGAAATGCATATAAAGAGCAAACCTACTCTTTAGAAAATCTTTTATTTAATATAAAGTATATGAAGCCAGGGAGTTACATCCAAATAAGCATATTGCTATATTCATTCATATGTTCGGTCAACAAAAATACGATCCATTAAATTGTCTTTATTAACAAGCAATGATTTATAAAGAGCTGACTTTTCAATAACCATCTGTCATCGTCATCAAGACAATTATGACTAGTTCACTGTAGCTGGGTGTTACCAGTTTACGTAATTGCCCTGATGAAGTTAATTTATATCGTTTATGAAATTAAACGAAATATCGTTTAATGGTAAACAAGTGGTTGTGAATAAACAACGTTGCGTCATTCAATCATTAACCAACCTATAAGTAATTAAATTATTCATGGCACTTGAACTTAAAAAAAAATATTTTTCGAACTTATTTTTGAGTGCTGGAAATATCAAGAACTTGTTGCACGTTGAGACATGCTGTTAAACTAAACTTGCATTGTGATGTAGGTCCGTTGTACCAGAATTCAGAAGTGCTTTTGGAACACCAGGATGACGCGGGAACAGAAGAACAAGGCGCAGGCATCTTCAGGGGTCGAACAAAATCTTTCTGGCGGGACTTTTCTATGGTACTCTTTCATACAAATTAATTGTAGCCGTTAAAACAGCTACATGAGTACACTTTTTGTAGTATATTAATTGTATTCTGATGTGGGGCACAGTTGAAATACGTTTAAAAACGTAAGTGCAGCGCCACACGGTCCTTGTTATTGCATTGTGTTGATGAATAAAATAAACTTTGTGGAGTAGAAAATGAATATGATGCACACTTGTGTTTTTCTTTACATGCCAGGTCAAAAAGGATGCTAGAGTTGAACAGCTTCAGGATAGTGAGGTGGCCCTGCACGAGGTAGGTTTAGATACAAAAAGGACGTACTTTCCTCCCTCCTCTCAAAATGTAGTCTGTGCTTTCAGTAACTAGTAAGTGCTGTAATGTTTTCAAAAAAATTATCACTTCTGTTTTCGTAAAGAGGTTGACTAACTTTCGTTAGAACTAAGTAATGTATCTATCATGCTGTTATAGACTTTTCAACGAGAGCTTTAATCAGAATTTCAGCCTGTTTTCTGTAACATTCATACAAGAATTTTGTGTTTAAACACAACGAAGGAAAATTTTTCATTAGGCGACATCAAATGTAAACCTAATAACAATTAGCCTTTGGCAGGCTTTAGACATATCAGACGAACGTGTGGCCAAATAGACACATAACATCCTAGGGGACTTGGTGCGTTCGAACGTTCAATGAGTAACTTTAGTTTGCCGCTTCCTGCAGGGTCAAACAAATGTTTCCTTTTCACAGGCAAAGTACGAGATCATCAAGCTCCATGTTTCCTTGCTGAAGAGTCTGAAGGTCCTGGTGGATGTCTTCGAGTCTGACGAAACACTGCTGTCCATCATGGGACAGCACAACCACAGGAGGCTGTTCGCTAACACAGACGCACTGATGTCCATGACGAGAAGGTACTATCTCATTGCAACTACAGTTCCATGCCATTTCATTGAATCATTTTACCAGTAGATTATGCTCAGGGCTATGACCGTTTTCTATGTCCCTAAAAGAATGTTCGCTAACACAGACGCGCTGATGTCCATGTCGAGAAGGTACTATCTCATTGCAACTTCAGTTCCATTTCATTTCATTGAATCATTTTTTTTTCATTCTTTTTATTGTTTCCAAAATTCACACAAAAGAAAGCATGGCACAACGAAACAAAATGAAACCACATGCATAACTACAAAACTAAATAAAAACCGGTAAACAATATAGATGATATAGCAGAGTGTTACAAAGTATTAAAAAAAGTCAACCCCAATTACAATTTATTTATAATTTCTTCAAGGAGATGAAAGTAGACCTATTAGCTTTCCCCATTTTCCCCTGTGTTTTTTTGTCTTGCCCACCCGATTGGAAATAATGGTTTCTAACTTAAAGTAATATGTTACATAAGAAACAAGAGTTCCGAGATCTCATACCTCCATGAAATATGGGCTTGCTTTGTCCTCATTAATTATGCAAATAACCTCTACATTAACATAATATATGCATAGCAATGCAAACCTTTAAGTAACTTACACAATGTTACGAGGTATAAAATTCCCATCATTCACCAATAAGGATTCACAGAATTTTCACATTAATTATGCAAATTAGGTCAGCATAACTGGTATCTGTTGATGTTCCGCCTGCCACAGATTAAATAGATTACAGGTATAGCAGTACCATTATATGAAACACTGTAATTATAGAATTTCCTCATTAATTATGCAAATTAAGTCCTCATTTGCATAATTTGCACTTAATCATGTACAACTGTCTATCAGGTACCTACACACCAAAAATGATGAAAATACGTTGTTCAAATCTGGACTTATTGGCTTTGAAAGTTTTTACCAGAAACTAACCTGCAGTTCCAGAACAAGCTGCTAGGGGGGCCAAACTTACGCCACTAATTCCTGACAGGATAAGCTATCTGTCACCAAAAAGTCAAGACCATAGCTTGTTCAGGACAAAAGATACAAAAACCGGAAGTTCTGCTGCAGTACCAAGGTCATCCACCAGGAGGCCCATACTTGACCTTGACCTTTGTCTTTCCAAGACTTACCATCATACAAAATATCATCACAATCCATAAAGGCGTTCTGAAGTTATGCTGACTACAAAGTTGTGGAAACACACACAGACAGACAGACACACACACAGACAGACATACAGACAGACACGCCAAAAACAATACCTCCATTTTTCATGGAGGTAATAAATGATTCTATGTTAAGTGACCAAGATCGATTTTTAAATATAAAATATTTTCCCAAGAGAATAATGAGATTGGACAGGACTGGGCACCTATCGTTCAAATCCCCCAACATAACATTACAAAGACTAACATGTAAATGGTAACCAGTATGGCTTAAGTACCATTCTTCCACCTGTTGCCAAAACAGTGCAGCAAATCTACATTCCCAAAATAAATGCATGGGAGACTCTTCCTCTTCCTTACAGAAACTACATAAAGGGGACTCTATTAACCCCCACCTGTGTAACATTTTATTGGTAGTTAAAAATTTAAATAGTAATTTATATTGGAATATACGCATGTGGGAGTCAATAGAGGTTTTATAAATTAAACTATACACTTTTTTCCACATCACTGGAGTATTCAAATAGTCTTCCCAATAGTATTGTATTCTGTCGGAAGATTCCCATAACCTAGCTTCATGCATAAAAAGGAGTACAGATACTTGTTGATATTCGATTGCTGAAGCCAGCTTATGTCTCTACAGACAGGAACACATACACTTAAATTCGGTGACACCTGTTTCAAGAGATTCTTCCAGGATAAGGGAATAGCTGAAATAATTTGATTATACACAAATTCCGAGCAGGTGTCACCAAATTTCAAAGCATAATTTTCAAAAGACAGAAAATTATTTGCTGAGTCTAGAATGTCATTCACAAAAAGAATCCCTTTGCTATAAAGAGACATTAAAAAGCATGGTTTTCCACCAATACAGATTTGGGAATTCAGACAAAGTAGTTGCTGCTTTACTTCAAGGGCATTCTCAGGGGGGGCGTAGCTGGAACTTCAGCCATGCTTGGAGGATTTGTCTATAAAATACACTGATTGGAGCCTTCTCTTTTATCAGCGCTTCAAAGTCACTAATTGTAAGCTGACAAAAGGGAAATGTATTCGTAGTAAACAAAGGGCTAGAAAAAAACAACAATTTAGAACAAAACCACTTTTCACTATGGTATAACTTCGGAACCCAAGACGCCTTCATGGTCAGATCAACAGCACGCAGGTTTCTAAGTTTAAGACCCCCATGTTCATAAAGATTATATAGTGTTTTCCTTTTTACTCGTTCTGGACCCCCTCCCCACAAAAACTGAAATATTTTTTTCTCGTATCTATCGAAAAAGGCAGGAGGTGGAGACGGAAGAGACTGAAATAGAAATATAAATTGTGACACTACTAACGAGTTAATAAGGGTAATCTTCCCTAAAAGAGAAAGAGATTTCCCTTTCCAGGGATTCAAAATTTTATCTATCTTTGTCTCTTTTCTGTCAAAGTTAATATTTACAATATCAGCTTAGTTTTTGGGAATATGAATCCCTAAATTGTCAAAAGGGCCATCAGAAATTGTCAGGAATCATTTTACCAGATTACACTCAGGGCTATGGACGTTTTCTATCTCCCTGGGTACATAAAAGAATTCGTACATGGACACACACACACCCGCGCGCGCGCGCGCGCGCGCACGCACACACACACACACATACATACAAACACAAACACACTCACTCGATAGATGCAGCAAGAAAACTATAGTAATTACATTCACTGACTCTTTCAATAACTCCGGTATAGTCTCAGTCACTCACACACCCATACATTGCCACCAAATCGGATCCATAACTTCCTTGATGTACAACACTGTGAACGTTACCACACACGCCTATTGAACATTACGTTTGCCCTCGTAGATGGAAACATGTTGTTTTCACTCTGTGTTATTATTGTTTCTCCAAACAAAAAGAGACTGTCATAACTGGAACTGGGGTGTTGAATTATTGAGTAGAAAGTTATGTAAAAATTTGCAGGACAAAGTTGCAGAGGCTGCTCAACATGTATATGAATGTGTCTCAATAACCAGAGCAGTAGTTTGTAGAGCTAGACCGGCCCCATGTGAAGACATACTTTATGTATTTACTTTGTATTGTATGTATTGTTACCTTTAGTAATTTAGTTTGCTTCTCAACGTCGCCTTATTATAACAACTCTTTCACCTTTCCCAGTCTGTTAAAGGAGCTGAAACATAGCTTCAACCGTGATGTGATGATGACCGAGCTCCTCGCCCTGGACACCTACGACCGTTACCTTGTGGACTATCACAAGTACTGCAGGACAGCCGCGTATCAACAGGCTCTGCTGCAGAAACTCCTGTATGTAGTTTATCTGAGGCAATGTTAATTTGGTTATATGAATGACATCTGCGCGCACATGAATTTTTGTCCATTGAAAAAAAAAGGTTTTGACCATACTGTAAATCGTAAAAAAATGAGAAAATACATGTCGTATGTTGCAAAAAAGGATTCTAAAACGGTACTAATGTCATAGAATGCAGAAATCAATTCAGAAAAAGAAGAAAATGTGAAGAAATGAAAAGGGTCTAATATCCTTCGCCATACCGAACTATATGTGTTCAGTCATTTGTTCAACCTTAATGATTAGGTAGCTTTCATAATGAAGTAAACTTTTTTATTCGCACGCTCGCATCAGTTTTGGGGCTCCCAGAGGGTGTCATCCATATAATCTAATAAACATGGCCTGGTTTATTTTAAAACTTTGATAGGTCACCATTCACCGGTGATGCAAAGTTTCATATCAGAACTACATACTAATCTAATAGCTATGTGAAAGTTTTCAATACTTATTGAAACGGATTGACTTATGTCCGTTTGAACAGTATTGAAATGTTGAATATGTAATTGTTAACACGCGTTACCATATAATATACATACTTACAGGCAAGAGAGCAGTGAATTCGCGGTGAGAATTGACCAACTGGAGATCTACCCACGTTGTTGTGGGAACAAGTTGGAATCGTTCCTGAAGATTCCTTTCCAGCACATCATCAAGCTCAAGACGGTATTCGAGGTGAGCTATATGTATGAACATGAAGAAAGGCAAATGTTGCTATTGTCGCATTCACTGAAAAAAAACATTCTTATACTCACCTTAACCCTATCTAAACTGGTGGGGGGTGGGCTAAAAGTGCCCGCGCCAACTTTGATGTCGGATGACGTCCGAACGGCTTGTGCTAGGGCCACCAAACTTGGTGACTTTTCCTAAAATATTGTTGTAATAATTCCATAGCAGTGAGATAAATTATCAAATTTTTGTGTTGCCATGGCAACGGGTTTCTGACAGGCATTCTTTTGGAAAAATCAGTAGTTTTTACTATATACTACTAAACAATGAAATTTTCAGGCTTTTATGAAATTTTTAGGTCTGCTTAAAGATAGACCTAGGAATTGGAACTGAAAATTTTAACTAAGATGGTCTGTCTTATAGGGCATATTGCGACATGCTCCTAAGAGCTCCGGCCAGGAAAGTTCTGCTCATGAAATTATCAACGCACTGGAAAAGGTATCTTTCTACTTGTTATTTCATAACTTTAAGTATTTTTACTAAGTAAATCTAGTGATAGCACATGATACAATAATGTATGATCTAGATGCCGCTTTGGGCACAGGATTAAGTTCTTTGGCTTTCTTTAGTAAGTTAAATGGTTTACCATTATTTATATGATATTGAGAAGAATAGTTAGCAAATGTTCTAAAGATGTGTTTTTTTCGATGGACAAATTACAATGAAGACGAGTGAGAAGTGTGAGGAAGCTGTTGCCACCATGACGGAATCACTCGAACTCCAGAGGAAGCTCATATTTCATAAAACCAAGGTTAGTACAGCATTACTAAAACGTCTTCTATTGTTTTTATTAATACATCTACCACATGGCACGGGCTGCTAAAATCAATCGTGCTTATAATTACGCGCATACTTCGTATATGTACTTAAGTTGAAGTCCTTCCCACAACAGATGGTGCTTAGGGCAGCGCCCATCTCCGGTTCAATAGCCATTGGGCCACACAGTACTGCAGTCACTACAACAGGGGCCAGTCCATTGGTAGCGGTGTGTGTTTAACTACAAAAATGCTGAGTGTTTAGCAGAGAAAGCAGTATGTACCAATGTTGAAGTTTTTCTTACGACTCGACCGGGGATCGAACTCACGACCAACCGAAAGCAAGGCAATCACTACCAGAATTAATATTTTTCCTTTCTTTATCATTGTCCTATGCAGGAAGTTGAGGTCGCTTCTCCTGGCCGCTGGCTGGAAAGGGCTGGAGAGTTCAGTGAGTTACGGGGAGGAAGGATCTCTTCACCAGAAGCACCTGTGATGATGTTCGTCTTCAACGATATGGTCCTCCTCGCACAGAGGCGAGTCTTTTCCTGTAGTTATCTGAGTGTGTAGTAGTAGAGTATAATAGATATTTCTAGAAGTACAAGTCTATTGGTTTATGATACATGTATATGTATATTTATTGTTACTTTCCTTGTAGTTCCTTTCTTGCTAGGTAACCATGAATAGCACATTATAGACGTCAAACAAGACACTTTAAGAACCTAATGGGTAAAGGAAATAGCCCAAACGCTATGCTACTAGCCTCCATACAAGAGTGACAATGAAATCAAATGAGTTTTATTGATGAATCATCACACATAGTAAACCTCATGAAGTCGATGACACAATTATCGTTTACGTCATTAACATAGTGCTCATTTATTAACCTAAAGAAAGTATGCTGAAATTGATCGAACATGACAAATGTTATAACTTATAGTTTTGAGTTTTTCTTACATTTCTTCCTGCTCTGTCCCTCCAGAGCGTCAAAGGACGACCTGACGGTGCTGGACTACGCCTTGCGGCCGCTAGTAGAAGTGCAGCCGATAGGACAGGCGCTTTGTCGTGCTTTCGGCATGGAGGATCTCTACCAGATTACACTGGTGGCCAATCACAGGGGAGTCATGGAGGAACTGGTCCTACATCCCGAAACTAGGTACGCCCCAAAAGCCTAAGATATCACTCTTCAATCAGAAGTTTTGGTTTTGGCTAATTTTTGTTTCTGCGTGTTTTTAGGTTTCTTCATCGAGATTTCTTTTTTGCACTGGTATGCTTTTTACGCAAAAAAAGGTACCATTGCAAAAAAACAAAGACCGATAAAAAAGCCTGAAAACACGCAAAAAATTAAGCCAAAACCAGATCTTCTGATTGAAGAGTAATAGAGTAGAAGATATTGATTGTAATATCACCAAAAAGAGTTACTCAAGCAACTAGATATAGTTTTGGAACCGGTAAGAAGTTTCTGGTGACATCCACTTCCAATCGTCAGTGACATGAGAGAGTTGTTAGAAAAGCATCATACCCGTCTAATTTTGTTTCCCTTTGGACTTTCAAAAAATTGTCCTCTATTGTCTTCATATCAATTGATAGTTTGTACTTATAAACCCGCTTTTCTAAAAACTCTCCAGTGTCACTGACGAAAGGTAGTGGATGCTACCTGAGCACGTCTAACCGTGTCAAAAATTTTATCCAGTTGCTCGAGTAACTGTTTTTTGCGCACATTATTACCTGAATGTTTAGCCTTCACCGACATACCGCATAATTTATTGCATCCAAACCTCTTCTTAAAAGAACAACTTTAGATCTATTGAAGGATTTGCATCTTTTTCAGTGGTGACGTCGACCTGTTGCTGTCTATATCTGCCTGGGAGGAGCAAGTTTCAGATGAAGGTGGGGAGCAAAAGTTTCGTCTTGACAGTTTTACTTATGTTCTGTCAGCAAAGTTAAGTGGTGCCATCTTTATCAATAACGCCAACGATTATGGGTTAAGATTATCATTTTATGCCACTTGCAGGTGTTCTTTTTTTTGCCAACACCATAGGTATAGGATCTTTATGTCGTTTGGTATGTGGATAGGTGTTATCGAAATGAGTATGGCACCCGATAATGGCTTTCTGTTGCATTGTCACAATTTTTGCTGTGCATTGCATTGCCCTGATGAAGATGACAGTCGGTCTTCGAAACGTCGGCTCGTAAACAAATAAATGGTTGTGATCAAAGAACTTTGCTATTCATTCGTTTACCAACCTGATGAAATTGTTTACAAACAATTCTTAGTTTTTAAATCTTGTGGACTCTTTTGAGTACTGAAACTTATGAAGGATAGAATAAAGTGGTAAAAATAGAATACGCTATAACATGCATTTTGCTTTGAACAGACGTACAGTACGGTGTCATCACAGAGAGCTTCCTGATCATGGAGGCAGCAGACAAACCCATCGCGTTTAAAGAGGGAGATGTTGTAAAAATCTACGGAGGATTGGAAGGTGAGTAGTCTATAATATTTATTTATTGTAACATGACAATACAAAGTTTGCACTAGGCAGCAAGTATGCACCTAACACATACCTGTATGCACCTAACACATACCTGTACATATGACATACTGGTGCTTCTCGTGTACTGGCTATAATGACCACTCATCACCCTTTCTCCTCCACACCTATGGTTTTGTAAATCGTCATGCTGGTGATACATGCACGTGAGTTTGGTTTCAATGATCAGTGTGTGGAAGGGCAACTCTTAGAAGTGTTGATGCACCTAGTTTGCCCTCCTTTCTACATTGTGGTCAATAAAGAAAACAAACATTGACATGTTCTATACCCGGGTCTTAAGTTAATAGCCATTGTAAGACGTTGTCAGATTTTCGTTGTTCACTGGCAACCATTTTTTCCTGACAGAGGCACGTGTGCATGCTGTGCGGATGACTGACGGACAGACAGGGGTACTGCCCGGGAACATAATCAGTGTGGTCAGCGGCGAGTCTGGCGGCTACGGTAGCCGGGAGAGGTGCACGTCAGCGAAAGTGGTGCCGAAGCATCTCTCCTCGACGCAGGACCCGGTCATGATGATCAGCCGCCTGCCCAGTCTCGTCAAAGGCGTTGAACCCGTCATCAGTCGGGTCCCTAGTCTCGTAAAAGGCGCAGACCCAGCCGTCATCAGTCGGGTCCCTAGTCTCGTAAAAGGCGCAGACCCAGCCGCCATCAGTCGAGTGCCTAGCCTCGTAAAAAGCCCGGTTGGGACAGCACCAAAAGGTTCTCTGATCGGTGAGTAGACATCAATACATAACTTTAACATATACGGATTATTCCATGGCATATACACGACAAATATATCTATATATGCATGCATGTAAAAGCAACTTTTACGTCCGTTGGAACATTTCTATGAGAAGCTCTAATCAGCCTGCAGACCGCTTTTCATTGAGGTCATAAGGAAGGATGTAAGGTTCAGATAAAATATGTAACAAAGATACAGTTAACACCATTTAAAAGCACTAATATATCTATACATACGCTATATACATTTTACGCTAGAGTGAGAGCAAGTATATGGCTCGTGTCTGTTCGTCTTGGTAATTTTTTGTATTTCTGTTCCTTTACGAGTCTACGTGAAGGTCAAGTATTTCTGTTACTTCCAGGAGGCTCTGACAGCAACCAATCGCTTAGTGGGAACATCAAGCAATACAGCAACTTTGACGCTCTCTGGAGCCAGGCGCAAGAACGACTCGACGCTTTAGTAAAAAGCTCAAGCGACAAATTCAACATGGTGAGCAGCAACTTTGCAGCGGGGGTGTTCGACGAACGCGGCGGTCATCTGAGCATTCTGGAGAGGGGCATCAGCTTGTTCATTCCCCCGGGAGCCATCGCAGGAGGCCCGACGAAGGTTTGTACCTGTATCGGTATAGACAGTAAAACCTCTCTCGGCGGAACACACCATGTTCGCAGGCACACAGCGCGGCTGCTAGCTACATTACACAGAACGACCTAGCCATTGAACATCTAAACCTAAATGTTGTTTTAACAACTTTTAGGTTTAGATGTTTAGATGTTTAGATGTTTTAACAACTTTTAGGTTTAGATGTTTAGATGTTTAAAAGAGCTATATATTAGTGAGGATGCTCCCATTGTATATGGTGGCACACTACAATCATAGTTCTAAGACAAATTAGTTTTTGAACACATCTATTCTTGGTTGATAACTCTGGTATTAGAAGGCATGACAGTGACTTTTGCTTGTAATTTTTTTGGGGCTGCTATTAGGTACTTGGTAGTTGGAACATGGTACACCAACCAGTTTATTACTTATTTTCATGAATTGTCTGGACACTTTTTAGGTCTACATCTACCTGGAGTCCATTGACGTTCACCAAGACGAGAATCTTCCAGAGGGCCAGGCGATGATGAGCTCCACGCTGTATTGCGGTCCGCCAGGCACGCAGTTCAACGAAGACGTCGTCTTCACGCTGCCCTACCAAGGAAGCGGATGTGACACAATGTGGAACGTATATCCGGTGCAAACCCAGACCGCTGTTGGAGAAACACCCAACTGGAGGTCGTTGACAGATGACGTCGAGGCGATGCATTTCCTGAGCAACGGCTTCTGCACGTATTTTGTCAGCCATTTCACCGGTTTCGGCGTCGTCGGCGACTGCAGTCGGTCTGGCGGGGCGAAAATCAAAATCTTTCGATTCGGAGCCTTCGCCTCACCCATGGAGATGCGGGGAAAGAACAGACGAGTGCGTGTGAGATGTTGGGAAGGGAAGAAATCAGAGCTAGAGGTAAGAATGAAAGAATGAAGAATACAAGCTTTTCCTTATGGGGTAAAACAATTGTATAATCCGTAAGTAATCTCAAGGTTTGTAATTGATTGAATCTCAAAGTTTCTTAATTCACAACCATTTTTTAAACTAGACCCAAAGTTTCCATAACCGTCTGCCATACTAAATATACTAATAATGTCGCACTAATATGTCATAATAGAATAGATAGACGGTCATCGAAACGTCCGATATTCTTTTTATAAAAAAAAGGTTGTGAATAAACAATTGACTTTAGGTGCTGATCATTAGTGATATTACTGTAATTTTTATTCTAACATTTTTCTTATAACCAAATACTAGTAACAACTGGGTAATTAATTGTTGATCTTGAATGCCTGTTCTGAATCTTTCCAGCGAGTTCTCCAACTGGAGAAGACGGAGCACAGCGGGAAACTCATCGACGCTCACCGCCCGCTGCCGCTACGGGAGGGCCAGGGGGACGTCTGGATGGCGGCTACGGACACGTCGTCGGGCTGGCAGCTGCGAGGCTGCGGAGAACAATCGGTGAGTTATACTCTTAATCCTGAGTTGAGCATTTCGTCCTTCCGACCGGAGAGAGTTTACTACGATGAAGATTTATATACGGAAACATGCATTTAATTTGGTTGATGATAGTGTGATGCTGACAATGCAGTGGACGTTTTATTGTTATGTAATTACTTTTATGGGTTTATATTCAAATTGTAATTATTAACTATTATAATGCCATGATCTCTTTGTACGAATTTGTTTTGAATTGCATTGTCGTTATCCTTTATTAAACAGTCTGGTAGTGTTACAAAGATATGAACAATGTATTAGCATTAATATTATTGAAGATATCAGTTTAGGTTGCAGGGCATAAACGTCTAAGTATTAGCCACGTAGGCATATTCTTCTGAAGATGGCTGTGACCCTAGAGCTCTTTGGACCGCCATTTTGACGTTGATCTATGGTACCTTGCAGATCCCAGAGATTTTGCTGTGGATGGAGGAAGATGAACCGGTGGATCCCTCCTGTACGTTTGAATTCCGCACGGCAAGCGAGAAATCAGGTCAATTTGGCTGCACCGTGAAGATATACCAGGAACAAACCCCTAATACTTCCGTGCGACTGAGTGTGACTGATTTTGAGGAACCTCACCAGGTGAAGATTTTTACATTTTATATTTCTACATTTACCCTTGCAGAAGAGGACATATTGTTTCTGCAGTTTCTTCTTCTTCTCCAAGCAAATAATGTCAATGATCTAAATCAGGTGGCTGTAATCATGGTAACATGTGCTGTAGCAGACACCCTGTGTTATTGAAATATATTATGTAGCAATTAGCAATGGAGTTGGAGGAGCTGGTCTTCGTTTTTTTACAGTGGCAATGTCAAAACTGTAGAAAAGCATCGCTTAGAGGCAAGCTTTTAAGATTTAAGATTTAAGATTTAAGATTTAAGATTTAAGATTTAAGATTTAAGATTTAAGATTTAAGATTTAAGATTTAAGATTTAAGATTTAAGATTTAAGATTTAAGATTTAAGATTTAAGATTTAAGATTTAAGATTTAAGATTTAAGATTTAAGATTTAAGATTTAAGATTTAAGATTTAAGATTTAAAAACTTTAAGATTCTTCAATCAAACCCGTTAGAAATGTCACCGTGTTAAACTTTGCTCACACAGGTCAGTTCGTTCGAGTCTCCAAACGAGTGGTTCCTCCGTCTGCAGCCCGAGTTACAGCCGATAAAACAAGATGGCGCCCTGCTCCCTCCCAGCGCACACCGGCAAATCTGTACGGTACTGGACGTACAGAACACCCTGGGCAACGACTGGCGCGCGTTCGCCGAGAAGCTGGGACTGCAGTTTGACACTATCTGCTGGGTGGAGGGAAAACGGTAGGACAACATATTCAAATCAATCTTTGCTGCACAAAATGCGGCAATTACTTATCACAATAATTAAATATAATTTTCTTTATAAATGTCCCCTCTCTGTACGCTACGTTTATTATCTTGAAAGAGATTTATTCGAAATAAGAAAAATAACTATTGAGGACACAAATACCACATCATAAAGTACTTCCTCTGAGTTTCTTGATCAGATGTAGAAGTAATGCCATTGGTTGCTGTTAGTAATTTCATCTACGCTGTGTTTCTACATTATCTTATTAATGAGGTATGCCAAAGTTCTTTTAAGGAAAATGATAAAATGACCAAAAGTCTATATGGTCGTAATTTTGCAGCCCTACCGCCCGTCTTCTGTACTACTGGGAGCACACAAACGCCGGTGGTGGATTGTCAGCTCTAAGGAGCTTGAAACAAATCTTCCAAGAACTGGAAAGAGAAGACGTGGCAGAAATTCTTAAAAACGCCATCTCCCACCACTTCACCGAGCACACCGAGGGAAGAAGATCCACCGAGCCTGCAGTCAGCGAGTACAGAGAACGGCCAGACGCAGAACAGTACGCCAGGAGAACGAGTGATTCGGTCAATGTTACAACGGACCGTGGTAAGACGCCGAGGAAAGCCGGCACGCAGGGCGTCCAGGCCGGCCGGGTGCCCCAACATCTCTCGGAATCGTCACGCGCGATCAGTGTCCATTGAAGCCACTGTCACAAATTCACGATTTAACCTTCCAAACACTACCAAATGCCCCCCCCCATGGTTACGAGGAGGCCGTTGGCTGGTTTTCGGCGAATTCTACTATCCGCTTCCACCAGCCAAATGATTCAAAATATTAAAAACATTCGGGGGTAGGTCAGGAGCTTTAACCATGGTTGGCCGGTATTCGGCTGTAAGTCAAGAGAACACCCCCCAACCTTCAAGAGTAAGTCAGCATTATTCGAGGTTCAAATTCGTTTTGCTTTGTATAGAAAGGTAGGCGTGGCCTTATAAGCTGGTCCGACTGCTACCGAGCGTCAGCCGAACACGATCAGCTGGTATTGTGTTCTAGGGTAGTCGTGAATGTTTTACAATGACTTTTTAGTATCACATTATAAACTGGATATGAAAGGCGCAGTGGCATCATCATTTGCATTAGTAGGGGAATTATGAAATTCCTGTAAGATGTTGATATATTTTACTTTTGTTAGCCCATGGGCCCTTCAAATCAGCCATCGAGAGCTGTTTATTTACTGTGGTTAGGCCATGTTGATTTGATTATATGGATGACATCCTCTGGGAACCCCAAAACTGATGCGCGCGTGCGAATAAAAAAAAAAGTTTTGCAAAAAAAAAGTTGCTTTCACTATGAAATCTACGTGGTCATGAAGGTTGAACAAATGGCTCAGAATATGTTATGACGAATAATCTACTCTTCGAATTCATTTCTTTACATTTTTGTCTTTTTTCCTTTGATTTTGGCATTCTACGACATTGGTATCGTTTCTAAATGTTTTCCTTGCAACTTATGGTATATTTTTGCTCATTTAGCAAATGTTTTGCACGATTTACAGTATGGTTGAAAACTTTTTTTTTTGAAACGGCCGAAAATTCATGCGCGCGGGGATGTCATCCATATAATCAAATCAACATGGCCTTATATGAGAATGGCGTGGGACTATAAAAAAATCGTGTGGTTATTTCATGCAAATGAGGGAGAAACTGTGTGGACATCAGCCAAAACTGTGAATATATCACCAAATAATTATATAATTGTGTGGGATATACGCATGTGACCTGTCCGGACAATCCGCACTAATCTTGTAATCCTTCTTCTGGGACTAGAATCATGTCGTGGGATATCTGACCAATTCCACATTGATTTCTAATTACTAAGTGCTCTGCATCCACAGAGATATGATTGCATCCAAGCAACAAATGGTCAATTACATGTCTGTGTAACATCAATAATTATTATTATAGTACATAGCTATAAAGATAATGTTACTTGCCTTAGACTAAGCATGTGAAACCTATCAATGTTTAAATGCATATAGATGATACGTTATGCCCTATGAGAAATATTTTAGATTGTATGCTACATGTAAAATAACTGCTGTAAATTAAACATAATTATTTTCCTTGGGTTCAAATTTACTGAACGGTAACAGTTCATGTAGATATAGCCGAATAATGTGTCCTGAATAAGTATACTATATCATATCCATTATTTGTGATCACCTGACCCTTACTGTTTCTTGTATGACATTCCTCCCTGGATAATTTAGCTCTTGAAAAATAAATTTCTCACATCAGATCTTATTTTCCGTGGTGCTTTATAGTTTTAAGTACCTTTAAAGTGTGTAAATAAGACAGCGTGAGTGAGATTCTGGTAGTGATTATCAACATTATACCATTTATTGCATTAATGTAGGCGCTAGACATACGCGTCATGTTAGTTGTTCATGAAGTCTTGTTTTGAAAATTCGTTATTTCCTTCGGCTTTGGTAGAATCTTGACATTTAGAAAACGTAACAAGACGTCCATAGGACACAATCCATCGTGAGGTAATTATGGTGTTTGAGGTGTGGCCAAGGTGTTTGATTTACCTGAAAGTTTTTAACTGCCTGCATGCCAAATTTTAACCAACCAACCAACCAACCAACCAACCAACCAACCAACCAACCAACCAACCAACCAACCAACCAACCAATTAACGTTTCATTTTTTGACAAGCAAACAACACATCATTATCGTGACTACATACAACAAATACTTGCGTTTGTTTTCTTTCCAAAATTACGAGTAAGGTGAAATGCTCACGTGACGTCCTTGGCAGCAATTAGATTTAACAGGCGGCAAAATCAAGTACTGGATTGATGTTTTGATTTGCTTTTTCTTAACTTGAGACGGGTGTATTTTTTCCCAAAACGTCTTTGTTCTGTTCATACCTATCACGTTGAGCTATTGGCAGGACATGTTGCATACCAGTGTAATTGTTACATCTTCTTTAATGATAATGTTTTTAATGTTGTGCTTTATACACGTTAATTCAAAAGCTACATTTCCATAGCTTACAGTGGACTTTACCCATAAATGTACCTACAAATAGACTCTGTGCATTGTGCAATGAATCGCACAGCAGTGAAAGCCTTGTAAAATGCAAAAGAACAGTACCATGTATAGGTATAGGTACTACTAAGATGCATCAACTTAAAAGGTAATGTCAAGAGGTAGCAGAATTATATATCAGAAATTGAAATTTCACGACTCCAGTATCTAATTCTATACCATCTTCGTAAAGTACCGTAGTATTTATATTATATTGATAACATTATAAAGATTTATGCCTTCTGGGCTTCTATCAGTCCGACCTGCAGTTTGTGAATGTTCTGTCTATCGGCGCTGTTGAGCTGAAAACGAGAAAAACGGGATTATAAAACACAGACGTACTGCCCGACCCAATGTTGCTGCGTTTGTTATTGTTGTTGGCGTAACGTTAACACCTGACATGATGATAGCATCACAATGAAAATTTCACCTGACAAGAAAATTTAAAGATATACTATTTGTATGACTGAGAAAGATGGATATCCATCTGTATAGTAAATATAATTCATGATATACATGCACTGATATGTGTATGTCTGAGTCATCCATAGCTGCATTAAAAACACTGGACGATGAAAGACATTTACGTTAAATGCGGTTATAAAATGGCGTTTGTTTACGTTGGAAGAAAAGTTTGTAGGCGGGGACTTGCTCTGGAGTTCACACTCTAGTTCTGACTAACAAACATTTCAGGATCGTAATAATGGCACAAGCAAAGCAAAAGATACAAGAACAACACAATACATCTTTACTTAAAAGGCTACCGTTAGAATCGGGTCAGCGGACAGTGTCTGACGTCCACTATAGTCTAGTTGAGGCAACCTATAGTATAATGCTCTCTGACCTGAGATAATTACATTTTGGCTCACCTACATGTAGTAGCTTAAAGTCATGGTTGGTCTCACCTACATTATGTACTAAACAATACACTTAGAAGAAACGTATCAATTGTTACAAAAGATAAAAATGTTTCAAACACAGGTCATGTACACTTAGCTTCATTCACTGAGTCTGATTTTGAATCGCAGTAGTCTTAAAACTGTGCATAGGTCATGTAGACACACTGTATCAAAATTCATCTGCCTTAGGCGTACCTATACGCCATTGTACCCTCACAGAGAGACATTGTTTTCTCAGGAACTGGTTAAACAACTTGAGTGTGCCGTCACCACGTCTTGTGATTACATGTTGGAAATTATAAAAAAAAACAGGTTCGTACTAGCCTTCACTAAGTTAGTGAGTTAATGACCACTTCAAACAAGAACCAGTGAAATGCGCACATTTTACGAGATGTCAGCTTTACGCGAAAAAGTAAAATAACTCAAATGTCTACACGTGAATACTGAGTTGTAAAGCTTTTACCATTGCCTTCCAAAACTCAAAGAACTGTGATCAACTCTTGGCAGACGACATCTCTTTGAAAGTTGGTAATAGGTATTTGCAAGAAAACGGGGTTAAGAAAGGATGTAGTATATATATATATACGTTTTCCCTCGTGGTTGTCATCGCCTGTCTTTCCCTGTCCTCGTTGGTACCCTGAAATGTAGCCAGTAATAGTAGCTGAAAACGCCGCCCCGGGTGAGTGAGGGGAAGGGATCGGAGCTCAAGGATAGGGGAATGGAGGGGGTGGGGGTGGGAGGGG